TCCTTTGTTTCCGAAATTGTTTTCAATACTTATTACTGGTATTTCCCAGGTGACGGTTTTACAAAATTATTGTGCATCTTGAATGATCACTATCTCCTGATGAGTGTTATGTGTACATATTTTCCTCAGCAAAGGAAGAGGTGCGATTATTGGCAAATATCCCCTTGGTCAAAATGAATCATTCTTAGGTGTAACATGAAGAATAGAATGTCATATAATACTTTGTAAAATATTAAAGTGCTTGGGCACACATAAGCTGAAATAGGGGTCATTCCGTTCAGTAAGGTTGTATTGACTTACATAGGGCTGTGCACCATTGACTTAACATGAGGTTATCATCAGATCTCTGTAGAGGCCATTGGATTCCATTGATTATCACAGAAATACCTAAAATACAGTATAACCTGAATCGATTGCAAACCTAATAATTTCACAATGACACAAATGGTTCATCTCATCAAATGTGCAAATATGAAGTTTGCAATCGATTCAGGTCATACTTTAAAATAAAAGATTTTACATTTTCATCATTTTTCCCCTACAAATTGGCTATAGAAAAATTCTTCAAAAACAACTTTTACACTTATCAAATATCATAAAACTTTGTAAAACCAAAGAATATAATATTATATTTCATTATTTAGTATCATATTTTGATAAGATGTAAGGATGCATAGGATGCAAATGGATTTTGATAGACACAAACATACTTCCTGGTTTGGAATCTACACCTCTACACTTCATGAGTGAATTATGAGCCTTATAAGTGTCCAATACATCAATACAGTGCTCAACAAGATACAAGTGTGCATATAAATGTAATAATAAAAGCAGTATACTCATTTTGAAAAATCAGATGAATTAATTTTTTTCATGGGGAGATCATAATGGCGAGCGCATTACTTCCTTTTATTTTTAAAGAACACATGATGAATCTTTTATTCCACATTCTCAATTTTGCATCAATTATGTTTTTAGGATTTTTTCCCTGTGAAGGATATCATTGACAGTTATATAATTCATGGAAAAGTAAGTCATAAGAAACAGGTACATTAACACTGAGTTCCACCCATTCCAATGATGCATGTGTGCTAATTTTGAATATCTTCATGGCATTAGTGTTTTGGTCAAAGTGGGTTGTGAAATAACTAAAGAGAAGTCATGAATCTTATTCCATAAATACCTGAAATTTAAATGCGATCACAGAATTTCTGAACACAATCGGATGTACCCGAATGGTGTCTTATTCATAATGTAATCCATGAAATCATTTGTTGTGTGTATGTGCAGTCTATTTGCCTTATGATAATACATTTACTGTGGTACATTGGTTCTCCTAATATTATTTCCTTATAAATATCCAAACTTCAATCAACAGCAGTTTCAAAATTATCGTATATTGTATTTCACCTGATCTTTTGTAAAATATATATATGGTATGAGAGCTGTGGAAAATATTGTATATGGTATAAAAGGGGTGAAAAAATATTGTATATGGATCAAGGAATCAAGGAAACATTAAAGCAAATAGGGAAATTATCAATGAAACTTCAAAGGAAAAATAAAAACCACAATATCCCAGACACATTTTTCCTTAATAATACTGAAATAACAAATAAACTTGACATTGCCAATCAGTTCAATTCTTTCTTTTCAAGGGTAGGTGAGACCCTAGCAGCAAAAATTCCACCTAACAAAAGTCCTTTAAACTACATGAGTAGTATTGGAAGACAAGCGTCGACTTTATTTTTGAATCCGATCGACTCCAAAGAATTAGACATGGAAATATCAAAATTGAAAAACTCTGCGGCCAGTTTTGATGATTTAAAACCTTCCATAATTAAGCATTGTGGTAAGGCATTCCAATTACCATTATTACACATTTTCAATTTATCTTTAACAAATGGTATTTTTCCTGACAAATTAAAGATTGCAAAGATAATACCAATTCATAAAAAAGAAGACAGGCAACTTTTTACCAATTATCGACCTATATCGATTTTACCAGTCTTTTCTAAACTTCTTGAGAAATTAATGCACAATCGACTGACTTCTTTTCTGAATAAAATAGAAATAATGTATCTTTATCAATTTGGCTTTCGGGAAAAAATCGACATTTATGGCAGTACATAAATGCTTTCAAATGCTTTCTTTTAAATGCTTTAATACATGCGGAATTCCTCAAGGTTCTGTGTGAGGTCCCTTGTTTTTTATCATATACATAAACGACATTTACTTATCTTCTCCACGATTATTTTTTGTGCTATTTGCAGATTACACCTATTTGTTAATACAAGGAAAAAATCTTTAATGGAATTACTAACGCTTTGAAAGCTGAACTGAAACTAATCGAGGAATGGATAGTTCAAGAACAATTTTTTCTTCAAGACAAAAGCAATATAATAAAAATGACATAATCGTCTCGATGAATAAAAGTGCTTGAGCAAGTGTCACATATAAACTTGTTCGGAATTATAATTGATCAAAATCTTACCTGGAGAAATCACATTACATCAGTGAACATGAAAAGTTCAAGAACTATTGGTATTTTATACAAAGTGAAACATTTATTAACCGCTAAAAGCTTACTTAGTAAATATTACTCACTGATATATTCATATCTTATTTATGGAAATATAATTTGGGGTGAAGCAGGCTGCACATTGCTTGATACTCTTCATCTCTCGCCGAAAAAAAATTGTAAGGATTGCAACAAATAGCGACTTCAGAGCTCACTCTTTACCTCTTTTTCAAAATTTAAGAATCTTGAACATATTTCAGATAAATAAGCAACAAAGATATCTATTCATGTTTAAATGGATCAACGACAAGGATAATTACAAGCAAATATTTCTTAACTTCTTCCAAACAGTTGGAAACAGACACAATTATAATACAAGAAACAAGGAAACTTTTGACAAACCTAAAATCCGTACAAACCATGGAAAATCAATGTTATCATATTCTATACCTGATATTTGGAGCCAACTACCCCCACATTTTAAATCCATCAGAAGCATCATTCTCATGAAAAAAAACAGATAAAAAGATATTGTGTCACACACTCATTGTATACTATATTTTTATGAAATTTGTTTTTTATCCCATGGATACTAAATATATATGGGGATAACAACACAAGAGAATTTTGGTATACGACACTAAAATCGTATCCGATCCATATGACGTGATATCTAATCGTATCCGACGGATACTATTTTTCATAAGTTTTGAATTTACCGCCTAAATGGTTTGGCAAATAACAGCCTTGCCTGATTGAACTGCCAGAATATAGTTCCAAGTATTATCGGGCTTAATAAGATGATTTAGATGTCTTCATGTAATCACTTTGTATAAAACGCACTGTGCTCACTCGTGGAGATGGACGATATCCACTCTTGGAAAAAAATGGTATCCCTCAAAAATCATAGGATATCCTCTATCTATTTTTTTATGAAATAAACAAATTGAATTGAATTGAATTGAATAACACTCACGCACGGGAATTTGCATTGGTAAAAGCCGTTTAGCACTCAAGCATGGGAATTTGCATTGGTAAAAGCCGTTTAACACTCACGCATGGGAATTTACATTGGTAAAGCCGTTTAACACTCACGCATGGGAATTTGCGTTGGTAAAAGCCGTTTAACACTCACGCATGGGAAGTTGCATTGGTAAAAGCCGTTTAACACTCACGCATGGGAATTTGCATTGGTAAAAGCTGTTTAACACTCACGCATGGGGATTTGCATTGGTAGAAGCCGTTTACCACTCACGCATGGGGATTTGCATTGATAGAAGCCGTTTAACACTCACGCATGGGAATTTGCATTGGTAAAAGCCATTTAACACTCACGCATGGGAATTTTGTGAGCCATACCTCTATATCATCTTATTGGTAAATTGTTATTTCTCAACTGCGTACAGTAATTTGATTGCGAGTTGAAATACCTCCAACTTCAAATGAATGTATAAAGACTACTATATACAGACACATATGTTAGATCAGAGAAATTTATAAACTAGAAAACCGGTATGTCCGCTGTCTAACAAATATCCCATCAAACAATAAAAGATTGGATCCCAAAATGCAATCTCGATATTTCGCAATTTATGGCTTGACATTCTGCCATATATGGTGCCATAGCGTCATAACAGAAGCCATTTCTCACTTAAGAATTTGTGTCGCGAGTTTTGGTCTTATTACAAAAATTCAAAACACACAGAAGTTATGAAGATACTACTTTTTGTTTGTTTGTATCTTTATTTCCTCCAATTCTGAAGAGTACAATTTCTTATAAAAGAAAATAAATTAGCAAAAAGTTATATACATTATATTATATTACTTTAAATATGTTGATTGCTGATTGTGAATTTATAGCCAGATAAATGTCAGACAATAATGACGCTAGCTTTATTACATAATAGGGACTTTAAGTATATAAAATCAAAACGCCAACCTATACGTATGACCGATCGCCCATACAAATGCATCCGATTAAATGTTTTCCGTTTACGTATAAGTTGTGAAAAACACTGCAAGCTTAAACTCCCTAATATCGAGTTGGAACCCTGGGATCAAATTCTCCTTACCATCGAACAGAACAAATTTTATCAAATCACTTATACTGAATCTCACTTAACATAAATAACTAGGCAGATCAATTTCAAACTGAAATATCATTTTCATTTTAGACAGAACTGGACGAACAAAACACACTAAACAAACTGTCAACAAAAAATGTTACAAAAAATTCCAGGAATTTATATATAATAGCGATGTCAGAAGAACTTAACTATTTGGGATAGACCCTCTCCCCTGAATATCAGAGTATATAGTTTAATAATCCGACATCAGGATTTTGCATTGATTCCTAATAGTATATTAACTGCCATTATTCAAATGAATTGAAAATTGAAATCTTAAATGGTCTTTATTTATTTGGTGTAAATAAAGAAACCTATCAGCATATTAACTATTAATCAACCAGCGGTGCAATTTTTCATGGCAACAAATATATATTCTTTCTCATTTCAATTTGCTTTCAGATGCATCGAGCAAAGCGCTGGACATCAGATGGTGAAAGATGACAATTTTTGTGATATGCCAATAATTGCTGATGGAAGACTTACCAGATGTAGAATTGGCCATTTCTTGAAACAGGATATCACAAATCCTGTCGTTCTTTCATTGTATCCTAGCTCTGCGTTGAATACAAACTATCCTTTGAAAAATCTAAAGAAGTACAAAAAGATGGAGTACCCGGTGAACTCACTTGATATAGCTGCTGTCTCGGTAATGAAGATGATTGCAACGATCGGCTCTGGGGTTCCTGTTTTAGTGTTTGAAATCCCTAAGAATCTGAATTCCCTGGAGGCACACTGGAGAAGTTGGGTGCCCTATTATGAAGAATGTACGGATATCAGGATTCTAAATCATGAAAATCTTGCTAAGATTGATGATGGCTCGTTATTTGCCGTATTCCCATGTGCACAGATCCCAGCTCAGAAGCATGCGATTAATCCTGATACATTCTACGAAATTTACTCTAAGACCTTCATCCCAAAAATCAAAATCAAACAACCAAGCGGCATGACGAAAAAAGAAGCAATGGCTCCATGTGTGATTAAAGTTCCAATCGCCGACGGTTCTGAGGGTGTAAAGATTGTGACAAGCGACCAAGAAATTCTTGAATATGAAGAATGGGTTAAGAAAGTGGGTTGGGCAGGAGACCTGGTCTATCAAGAACTTTTGACTGATGTAATAGCTGATCGAGGAGTCCAGGTATACATCCATAAAGATGGCTCCGTCAACCTTGGAGGTTTCAGTAATCAGACGTATAGTAGCCACTCTCTAAGGAACTGGAATGGAGGTATCTTTTATAGGACTCCAGAAGAGGACGAAATCAATCTGCGTATGGTGAAATTCCTGCAGCCTGCGATCAAAAAACTCCACGAGATGGGTTACTTTGGTTACGTTTGTTTTGACGTTATGGAAACACGAAACGGAGAGCTATTCCTGATCGATATCAACCCAAGGGTCTCGGGATCGAATCCCCACATGTCGATGATGGATGGTATGGCAGAGAAGGGATTCCCCTTTTCGATGTATTCTGAATCAAACGGTTTCAGAATCACTGTCGAGGAGTTAATATCTCGAGCAAACTGCCTAAACAAGAAAAATGATGATGCGGTAATATTTATCCTTGGGGCACAAGCTACGGAGAGCGGCACCTTGAAAACTGCGATTTCTACATTTGCAACTAAGAAAGATCAACTACTAGAAGCCAAAGAAAATGCATTTAATTTCTTCCAGGCGTAACGGAATATAAGTTACTTTGGCCCATTCTGTGGACAAAACTGACAATTGAATTCTAATTCCAGGGGTAATTGTTGCCCTCTACAAAACACAAACATATCTCAATTGAAAATAACATTGTTTGTATAATCTCTGTTGTACATGTTGATACCAATACGCTGATTATCCCTCGTGGTTTGTAGCCTATTTCAGGATAACGCTCTTAGAATTTAAAATGGCTGCTATATTATTTGAAATACGCCTGGAAACGCTCTGACGTAGTCAGAAGTTCTATTTTCATCAGAAATAAATACCGATAATTCGGTGTACTGGAATAAGGATACAGCTCAGAAAACACACGTTTAGTACAAGCCACAATTGGCAACATTCAATAAAAAGAATTGTAACACAGCACTCTATATAATACCAAATACGATATCACAGGCGTAGCCAGGGTGGTGCGATGGGTGCGATCACCCCCCCCGCCCCCATAGCCAATGAAAATAAAACCATGGAAAAGAAGGAGAAAAGGACTTTAAAATGCTTTTTATGGATATTGTATGAATTAAGCTAATACGATAATAATTAAAGTGGCCTACTTATAGTAAATATATTTTGATTAACGTCTAATGCCAATATTGTGTTCATAAATGTTAAAGTGATGTCTGCCTTTCACACGAAGAGTTTATTAATACTGTACACATATTGAGTTTTTTGGCCCAGCTTGTACATTAACATTATTATTACATCATATAGTGGGAGACATTGATAAACCTAAACCATCAATAGTTGTCACAATGAGCTAAATTCTAAGTTTCATGTCTCAAACTCTCCCAAGCGGTAGAAAAATAATTCCCGTTCACTCTAAGTAGCACAATAAATGAATCCAAAGCTTCATACCTGCAAATGATGGATAAATTCCTACCAAATCGAACGAATGGATCGCCATGTTTGTGATCCAAGGAGGATTTACTCCCAGAATGCAACATCAGTTAACCTCATTTACTCGTGACAGGTTTCAAAATGGCAAAACGGCATTTTGAAAGCTGGCACGTGTCATGTTGCATTCTGGGAGCCAATCATTTGAAGAGTCGGCATTAACATGTGAATATCACTTCAAATTATTAAGTTCCTATTTGTCATTTAGACACAAATTCCACTATATTTGTACGTTCCGGGACGGAGAAAATAGAGTACTCAATTCACTGAGGTAAGAATTTATGACATATGTGACAGAATGTCTTTTTTATAGTGTTAGTCATTATTTATGTTCACCACTTTAGTCACCACATCGCCACCGGTACCACCAACGCCATTGTCAATATCAATATCTATCATCGTCATCACCACTATGCTTGGTGGAAAGTTTACAACAAATTAATTGACAGATTACAATAATACCCAACACCATATTCATGAAATATGTATGATCGTAAAACATATAGTCGAGTCTAGTACTTAAATATGCTTTAAAAGACACCAAGGTGATATCAGCTCATGGGACACATCAAAAAGCATTTGAAGCTTCGTTTCTTATAAAAAGTACACAGTAAAATCAGTAAGTTACAATCAAAGTTACAGTACATCAGTCTGTTTTTATTGCAAAATCACAACATCGCATAATTTTACAGAATCTGACGCTTTGTGAGACAATGATGGTATTTATAAAACGGGGTTATTAATCTAAACTTATAATGAGTTTTTATTGCAACACAGGCCCGTAACAAGAAAGAACTCTTCAAGTGATTTTGGGCAAAAAATAATATTCATAATAATTATAATAAATCTAGATAATGTTTCGCTTGCCGCCCGGCGTAGGATATGAGTCTATATTCTTTCGTAAGTTATCAAAAATTCTGGATAAACTTGGCTGTTGTCGTAGACTATGAACTCTCGGAACAGTAATCTACCAGCGCCACCTGGGCGCTTTACAGCCAATACAGAATCACATGGTGTATGGGCACTGCATATTTTATTGTTGCAACCTTTCCCATATTCTACACACGGAGGACGTCTGAAGGCATATACCTCATTAGCCACATGTATGTTTCCCAGTTGTGCACGCATAAGAAACATTTTCTTTTCACCACCACTTCTTTGGTCTTTGGGATCTGCAATTAAAAAAATAAGATTTAATAGTAATTGCTCGATCTATATGTTTCTTTATATCCATGAACAACTGTATCTGAATAATAGGAAAAAGGGTACAAATAACTATGACGCCCATGAAAAGCCTTAATTTCATTAGATTGGTACTTGTATATAAACCGTGTATTCATTTGGATATAAAGTCCATTGTCATATGACAATTTCCGTGTTGGAATTCTGAACCAAATCTTACCTCTGGTACTGAAATAAATGTCAATCAGTCTGAATTAGCAAACAAAGATATAATAAAAAGCAATTAATGTATTGTTGTTACACATCCTTCTACTGCTACAGACACACCATACCTGCATACTGGTCCGCCTTAGTTGAACTCTCTGCCATGTATACACCATTCCCCATCATACTATTAACAGTCAGTCTAGAATCGGGACCTTGGCTGACAATTCCTAAAATATAATTCAGGTATAGGTGAATGGTACCAAATAGTATATTAAGGAGTTAAGCAACTATGCCAATTATGGTATGCCAGAGCCCCTCTTATCTGCCATTTGCGTTATTATGTAAACACAGAAGTTACATCTGTAAGTTAACCAGTCTCTAGTAATCTTAATTGATCAAGTAGAATAACTAGTTGTATTATTTCGTTTCAGCACAAATATTTACCGTCGACACTTTCCGGCTTCGCTCCATGGAATAAGAAGCATTCGTTTATCTGTGGTACTAAAAGACTATCTAAGGAGGACACACCGAGGGTAGAGGTGAAAGGCACTAACTCCCCGTTTCCTATTGAGTGAATATCTCCATCAACTGCCTTTTTACACATCGCCTGTTGATGTGTGTTATATTTCTTGAACTGTTGAGGGTTCTGTACACTTTGTATCTTCTTTATCTTTATATTCGTATGTGTCAATCCCCTTGCATCGCTCCCATTGCCTACGATGCCACTTTTCCAAGTTCCTCCTTGACCCCATTCCACCTGGCATATCTTTTCTATTTCATGTTTGAGTTTCGGATCAACTACTTCTTCAAGGCAATGTTTTTTTGGCTTTTTCTTTTTCCAATAGCTTGGATAGCTAAAGTTTTTTGTTTGCGCAATTGCTTGTAAGTATTCCTTCGTTCCCTTCTGAAACATTTCCGCTCCCATTTGATCATCATGTTCTATCTTTTTTCTTATACTGTTAGCAGTGCCCTCTACCGAGCTCTTTGCTCCTCTCAGTAAGACATGCCCGGACTGGCATTTCTCTGAAAAAAATAATATATAACGGATAACTGGATTCATCACACTTTCGTGGTACCTATTATGTGATTGGTTAAAGCAGGTCACATGATGAAAATTGCATTTCATTTTCTGAAAAAATGAATGGGGCAACACAATTTGCAAAAGTGGTGAAAATCCAAAATAACAAAACAACATAAAACTACTCAATCCTATATTAGTCCATGGTATGAAATTTCTAGGACGTCTAATAAAGGAGCTGGTAGCACACTATAGCGCAGCGATATTTGACCTAATATTAACATACCTACATATGTTCCCTAATAATTTTTATTATAACCGTTTAAAACACTTCCGGCTTTTGGCTGAATTATGCCTGCCATTAACAGAGGTCAAAAAATTACCGAAAAATAAAATCCCAATTTTTCACAATTTGGAGTACACAATGCAACAGAAAATAGAACTATAATGATTTTAAATATACGATTTAGGTTTCTAAGCCATGAGTTTGAGGTTATTTTCTTATCAATACCCCAAAATTATGTAATTAGTGTATCGACGTTTTGTATTTTTTCTCAGGTATTAATAAGGTAAATGCTACAAATGAATCACTTTTATATTAGAATGACAAATGCTTAAGTTATGCTAGTTTCTCAAAAATGGGTCTCAATACTTTTTGAGATATGGACTTGAATTCAGCGGTGAGTATTATCAATAAAGAAGGGTCTATTGCTCTTCCTTGACTTATTTGGACTACAGCTAAAATTCTATTTCTCGTTGTTAGATATAGCTCAGTTGCTTATAAAACAACCATCAAGACTTGGTCGAATTCATGAATTATTGAGAAGAATCGTTATCATTATCTCCCTAAATTTTGATTGTATCCAGCGGTAAGGTCAAAAAAGAAACAGCCATCAGAAAACTTGATGATAGCCACAAGTAACGTCGAGTAAAAATTGTAAGGCGTTCGATTGCATATTGCTCTAATTGATTATCGGACATGCCCTTGGAATTTATGAACATTCCAATACCCCTGTAACATTTAATTAGATATAAATCGTACCTATTTGTTATGTACTATGTTTTATAAAACAGGAACAATAATTTGTTGATAGACCCTCTGTGGTTATATAGAAAAATTCTGGTAAAAAAATGTTTTGAATTGTAAGAAAACCTAATATGTTTCCAATCATAAATTATCTAAATAGTCTACACAATTTTGTTGAATCGGCTTGGCTCATATTTGGAAAATCAAACAAAATCTGAAAAATACACTCGCGTAATTACACTAATTAAACACCAACATCTACAGTAAAATTATGGTATATTTTTACATTATGATAATCTAGTTTTTGTTCGTATGCTTAGAATAACGGTCTGTGTTCGAATCAAAATATTTACGTTTTTTGACCCCTAGTGTTGAAAGAAATTTTTCGACCTGAAAGCCGGAAGTTTTTTCAGCAAATGGTATTTTAAAAGAATCAACACATATACACCTCCATAAATATTGCTTCAAATGTTGCTGCGCTATAGTGTGCTACGGATCCTTCATATTCGGAAGTCATACCATTGACTATATGCATTGATTAACATGTGACACTTTATAACCCAGGAGAGAGTATGGGAACTTGTAAATAAATAGGTGCCTTTACTTACCTACAAATGTCATACTTTTCTGCTCGGCATTCATAACACTAAGGACTTCTTCAACGGTCAACTGTTCACGCATTATTTTATCCTCCACGTAGTAGTCATCAACAATATCTGTAATTTTCTTCTCTGCTGTTTTGAGGACTTCTTTGGAGTAGCCGATAAGGCAGATGTCAACGGTATCTCCTATTGGAACTGTCAGAATTGATTCTAAAAATGAAATCGAAACAACCACATAGTAACTTTGTCTGATAGGAAGCTTCCCTGTCATGACAATCAGCGTAAATGAAATATATAATACCTACTGCTATGGCTCTTGTATAAGGTTATGAGATATGAAAAACTTACAACATACAATAGTTTAGTTCAATTTTGTTCCGTTAGTAACATGATTTACAAATTATTTAATATTTAATACTATACTGCACTACATAACACTACGATCCTTAAAAATGAGATGTATTTTGGGGGATTATATCTTGTAGTCAATAAAATGTTTTAAAGTGCATTGATGTTTTTTATGAAAAACATAAGCAAAATGTATGAAAAAACTCCGCTGATTCATTCTTCAAACAACCCCATCTCCTTTACAAAATAAAGGTAAAAAGGTTTGGGATACAACCTCCTCAAACTTCATCAAGACTGGAGCAATACTGAAAGTTACACTATCGTTCACCTTATTTATTGGACACCCTGTATATACAAAAAAATTACAATGTAAGAAAGTAACAGCTAAGCCAATAACATGACCACTAAAACGTGTGTTTCGTTGACCATATACCTTGCACTGGTCTCCTTTCCACTTGGCTTTGTTTCATTCCATGTCTATGATCATTCTTGGCAAACTTTGTTCCGCGTGTGGTTGCTTTGGTTCCACTCATTTTGTTCAATAGGTCTCCAAGCATTTGGCGGTCAAATACATACACTGTAACCGTCTAGATATAAAGGAATGACATGTATGTTTTTGTTTTTTTACAAAAGTTGCTCCTCAGTCGCTTTTCAGCTCATTGTAGAGGAGCAGGAAGCATTGTAGAGGAGCATATGTGTTTTAAATAGACCTTCACTAACTTATAAAATAGGAACGTTTTAAACAAAAGGCATTCGACATAAGAACTTCCAAAATGTTTATATTTATAAGGTGTTAGACTTCTTATTTAATTGACCCATTATTGGTTTAAGACCAACGATAAGGTATAAAAGGACTAAAATAAGGCATAGACCCCTGATGTACTTCCCGATTAAGTAATTGTACAAAAATGCAACGTTCTCTTTTTTTAGGAAACCATCCCGATGAACTCGATGAACAAGTTGATTAAGAAAAGCAGAAGAGCTTAATTAGAACCTTAATAGATGATGTTTTGCTTGAAAACGTCTTGAGTGCATCGTCCAAGGCTCTGTAGAACTCGTTGGTTGGGTAGTGGCTAAGTCTACCTGTGCCGATAGGTGGTAGCGCAATACCTGTTTTTCCCAGGGCAGATGTTTTCTCCAGCAACTTCTCAAGCAATGCCTTCAATTTCTGAGGAAATACATGAGTGTAAATAATATTGACTTTCGGCGGGTTGTTTCTGAATATGGATATGAAATAAAAGAGTGTCTTGAAATATTTACTTTTGAAATTATGAATGAAATAATTGTCACCAACACTGTTATGTAACTGTATTGCTGCAATTACTTCATTATCTGTTCAACATGACTTGTATGATGGTGATATGCACGTCTTGTTCATATACCTTTCCACTGCTGTCGTATTTGAAGGCAGTCGGTATTGCATGGAGAACATGGGTACATTGCAGACTTCCTGTTGTTGTTGTTTCTAGAACATCACCCCAAGTTGTATCTGTGCCCATACAGCCCTTCACCAGCTGGAGTAGCCACCAACATGTTATAACATTTGAATAATTGAATTAAATTCAATATGGGAACATGAATGGCTCTTTTCTGATCATATCTATTAGACGTGTCGCAAAAAGGTCGCGCCCGCATTGTTACACATTTTCGCTTTTTAACACCACAGAATGTGACGTTTTTTGAGAAAAATGTACACATATGGAAATCCTTTCGTCCTCCACATTTGCCTCTATATCTCAAAATATTTAAGGCGAATAAGTCTGATATCGTATATGTATTAACAATGGGATAGGAGCATCATAAAACACGAATCAATTGATATTTTAGGTGAAATAAATATACGTGTTGCTGTGCTTGAAAATAGGCGAATGGCGTAAATTAGCCCTATTTTAATGAATTTCGAAAACCTTTCGTCCTCCACTTTTCCACATACAACAGAAAACACATACTTTTGCGAACAAAATCAACTATTTATTAATAAACTAGAGTTTAAGAGCAAAATAATCATGTATGATTTATTAAAAATTTATCTCGTATTTTTTGTTTAATGTACACCTGAAAAGTTGAAAGTAACAAAAAATGAGCAAAAAAGGTCGCTGTCAACAGATTATATTTTTCAAACTCTATGACGTCACAATATGGGACGCTTACTAAAATTCATCCTTTGAAATAAAACTTCCATCTACCTTTATCAAGACGAAAAAGAAGTATAATAGTCATATATTGTTTGAGTTATGAGCGTTTAAAGACGAAAAATAATTCAAAATGTAACGTGTCAACATGGGATATTTGCCAGATGTTTTGGTAAAAAACTCTTTTTTAAAAAAGAACGCGCAAGAATCGTGAACGGAGTGTAGTTGATCTAAAAACTTCATCGAAACAGCTTTAAAATGATATATAACTTTAATTAGAATATTATCTTATAATCCGGGGAATCAAAGTTACATTCACGCGATACCCTTCAAGTAAAAAGCAAATGCGCCACCTTTTTGCGACACGTCTTAGCATATGAATATCAGGTGGCTGTCAAACCTGAAGCTGTAATGTATCCTTTTTGCTGGATCTGACCATGTCTACATTTGATGTAGAAGGCATACTGTAAAAGCCCAAATTTTCAAGGTGCCCTAATTTCCGCTATATTCGCGTCTGGGTGTTTAGCGCGAATTCAAGAGCACGTGTATTAAAGGGCAGGTTGATTCAGTGGTACGTGGATTCAAACTCAAAGTTAGAAAAAGCCCAGTCTAAAATAATTATTAAAAATTTTCTCATATTATAATATCTCATATTCCCTTAAGCTCAATGTAAATAAAGTTACTTTACAGACACACTTTTTTTAGACCAAGGTAGAGAATGAAATACATATATAAACATTAAATCCGGGGCTATAATATTAAGTAAATAATCAGACACACCTCTGTCAATTCAGGTCCACCCTTGTCAAGAAACGCTTTGGCGATCACAGATCGAGTTTTCTGAAGATTATCGGTAGGCTTTTCCAAGACATTCACAAGTATTTCATCCTGTAATCAAAGAGGTTTAAATTACAAGAGGTCTGAAAATGAGAAATTATTACTTTGTATATTCTGAGAAATAGCTATGCCATGAATTAAACACGCAAAATACTCAAAGGTTGACCTGATCTTTTGGGGTTAAATTATAAAAAAAAAGCTGATTGAGAATGAGATGGGGTAAATGTGCAATCATAACCTTAGCAGCGGCGATGTCGCCTTGTTTAAAGGTCAGCGTAATGTTCCCGTAAACCGTATGTGTCTTTAATGTTACCTCCTCTTTGTTTTTGGTCCCAGATGTTTCTGCAAGAATTCGAAATAAGTTTTCAAGGCATATCTCGTCACGGAAGATTTGAGTCTCCTTTATTTAGGTTCGAATGTACAGAACTGCTTTTAATGCATACATGTATTTCAACTAATTTATGATAATTCGATGAAACGTTATACATCCTCGCGAAATAAACTGAAAATACAAATAAATACTATCCAAATATATACGGTACCTGATCTAGCCTTAGGAGGACTCTTGCCATTCATAAGACTACAAAACTCACTAAACGAAGAACCTCCAAATACCACAAATGACACAGACTGAAATATGGTATGAAACGTGAAGCATATGGTATGAAAAGTGAAGCATATGTTATGAAACGTGAAGCAGTATAAAAGTGAAGCAGTCTGAAACACTATGAAACTACGTGACCATGTTTATGACAATCTTAACATCATTCTGCCTGTTCATATACCTGTATCTAAAGAGAAATCGTTTATTATGCTCATTATTAATACATATGTGTGTTGTCACAAAATAGTTTTTTATACGTATAATATAATAATAGGGAGTTTAAGCTTGCAATGTTTTTCACAACCTAAACGTGAACGGGAAATATTGAAGCATTTGTATTGGCGATTGCTCATACGTATAGATTGGTGTTTCGATTTATATGCAAGCTTAAACTCCCTAATGACGAGAGTTACCGTCAATGTAGTCGTTTGATCTATCGATGACAACGCCTTACAGAAGCTCTCCCAGACCAATTGGTTACTGTAGCCACTTTTTCCACCACCGATTGCCGGAACAGCCAGGCTACATTTTCCCTTCTTTTTTACTTCCTCAAAACATTTCGTGAACACATCCTATAATAAGATGATCACTATTGGATCATTTTGAGTGTTTTTATGTTTTCTCAGTATTTGCAATTGAAGTCTTAACTTGAGCTTTTTTAATATGTAAAGGTACGCGCATGTATATGGTCACTTACAGTCAGCCCTCTTGGGTTGGTCTTAAATGGCGGACATACAGCGTGGATTGTATAATTAGCTTGTAGCTTTGAGCCAGCGTCTGAGACAAACACGTCACCGTATTTGGCTTTCCCGTCTTCTAATGTACTTTTGATGTCTTCTAGCCCCTATTTGAATCAAATTAGAAATTTTACAATTATAAGAGTAATGAAGAGATATCACAAAGTTTATCTCTACCAAAGATTAAAATTATTGTCCCCTGCTCTTGAATGACAGACAGATACCGCTTTTGCGTTTGTATCGAATGATTGTGGGATCATTTTTATACTTATTATCCCAATGAACGAAGTTCTTTAGGGATATAGTGAAGCCTTTCGTCCGTCAGTCCGTCCGGAAGATAACTCGAATACTAGTAAAGTAGACAGATTTGCTTTCAAAATTAGTGGAAAGATGCATATTGCTAAATAGTTTTACGCAACTAAATCATTTTTCAAGATGGCCGCCACTTTAGGAATGGTGGGAATATTTTAGAAAATCTTTAGTTTTTCATTTTAAACCAAAGAAATGAATATTTTTGTTTGAAATTTTAATAGTATATTCGTCACATATATTCCGAGTTTTTCAGTCTCATCCCCAGGGGCTGTGTATGGGGGTTGGAAAAAAGGGCATATGCGTTAATTTTGAGATCTTTCTTAAGTATAGATTTATTATATTTAAATGAAAGCCAATTTAGAGTAGATTGCAAATGTTGTATCATTTTTCTTATTTTGGGCCTCGTAAAATTCAAAATGATCGCCTTATGTGGGATTCCGAAATAATTTTCTGATCTTTCCAAAGTATATTATACTCAAATTGAAGAAAACTTAGTGTAGATCACAAATATAGTTTTGTTTTTCTGATTAATGCCTCAGAGAATTCAAAATGGCTGCTAACATGAATTTGCGTCAATTTTGAGATCTTCCTGAAGTATGGCTTTATTATACTCAAATGAAAGGTAATTTAGACTAGAATGCAAATATAGTATCATTTTTTATGATTTGGGCCTCGTAAAATTCGAAATAGCCACCTTATGTGGGATTTCACTATAATTTTTTGATCTCTTCAAAGTATTGCTATATTATACTCAAATTGAAGGAAATATGGGGTAGATCACAATTAAGGCATTGTTTTTCTGATTTGTGCCTCAGAAAATTCAAAATGGCAGCCTCGCAGGAATTCGCTGTTACTTAGAGATTTCTTTTAAGTATGGTGACATGATACTTTATTAGATCTAAAAGAGATTGTCTCAATTATTTGTGCCTTTGAAACTCTTAAATGGTCCCCAAAACACTTAATTTGGTGGAAATTCTGATATATCTCTTATGTATACGTAAGTATTTTAATATCTACCGATTATATTTTCAAGGGAAGAGTAGATGGTAAATATCACATTGTTACAAATACAGATTCATATATGTTAAAGTGTTCTTTGGGATTGCTACTCCGTGGAGTTTTCTAGTTTACGATTCATTTTCATACAATTCAAATAAGAATGGATTGGGTGCGCTTACCTTTCCAAATTCGTCGCCTCCTTCTTTCAAAAATGCTTTAGTTGTGGGAGAATCCATGAGGGACCGTGAACACGAGTTGACTAGTACATCAGCCTAAAAATGAACGAGAAATGTCACTGTGCTGGATGTGCCCAACTTATTGTTATTATATTTTATTCATATTAAAAAATTCCTACTTGTAAATTTTGTCTTTTCAGACATTGATGCCTTGTCTATAACAATTTCTTTGGTTGCATTAATTAGCTTCTATGAGATTTTTGACTGCACGTGTGGTATCTTTAATATTAGGGTCTGCCAGCTTACCTTTTGTTTGCTGATGTCTCCCTTTACCAGTGTCATTGTTATGTTGTTTATTACTTTAACAGTTGTTGCTGGTCCAGCTGTCTCAGTCTCATCATCTGGTCCCGATGTTGCATCAGCGGTTGGTTTGATATCCTTTTCATCTCTCGCTGGATTATTGTCAACATTCGGGTCAGTAGAAGAATCATCGGTGGAAGATGCTTTCGCAGCTTTGTTGTCAGATTTGGTGACGATTGGTTCTTTTATATAAGGGCTCTTTCTGAATATATATCGCCATACTCTCAGAATATATTGCTTAAACAAGCAAACTTCGTCATTTTTTCTTTTTCTACTTGTTTTTTTTAGATGTAACAAAAGTATTCAAATTCATATTTCAGTAGCACAGACTTTAGACCACAACTACATGTAAGTCCAAGATTTAAAATACTGCAGCTATAAACTGTACTTCTTTAATGAATAATTTTAGCAGTTGTTAACTTGTAATGATCCAGAGATTGAGCATAAAAGAAAAATTGACAAACCTGTTTATTTTTATGTCAGTGGTAACTTCCGTTAATTCTGACTCCACAGAGTTAAGCAGTGCACGCCCCATTGTACTAACCAGGAATCCGCCCATACCTACAATTAGATATTAGCCTGCCATTGTATGTCCCATTAGGTTTTCAAAAATATCCACCTTAAAATTGTTGATGTACTATTAGTTTCAAACCTGGTTTATCAACGGTAAATCTCCTTGATTGGACCGTTTTTGAAAGTGCGTCCCATTTTGCCTTTACTGCTTTGGCCTTTTCAGACACACCCTTTACCGCATACTTGTTCTTGTTAGTGTCAAATGATAAGGATATATCAGACCTACAAAAAGTATCAAATGACAGGGCAATGTCAGACCTACAAAAAGTGTCAAATGACAAGGCAATGTCAGACCTACAAAAAGTGTCAAATGACAAGGCAATGTCACGACCTACAATAGTGTCAAATGACAAGGCAATGTCACGACCTACAAAAAGTGTCAAATGACAAGGCAATGTCAGACCTACAAAAAGTGTCAAATGACAAGGCAATGTCAGACCTACAAAAAGTGTCAAACGACAAGGCAATGTCACGACATACAAAAAGTGTCAAATGACAAGGCAATGTCAGACCTACAAAAAGTGTCAAATGATAAAGAAATATCATCTATCCTTATACAGATCTAAAATAATTTGTTCTCGTTAGTGTCAAATGTTAAGAAAATATAAGAACTAAATAATGCATTTTCGCTGGTGTCAAATGATAATAAAGGTAACATCAGATCTACGAAAATTTGGAATACTTTAAAGAGAAGAGTCGTGTTTAGACAGTACCGAAAATCATGTTCGGATTGTGTGTGAAAATAATATTTCTCGCCAGAACATGACGGATGACGACATACCTGTTAGCAATATCTTTAAGAAGCTTTTCCTTTCCGAACTTTCGAAAATGATTTATTGTATCTGGTGGAACTTCAAGGTAGAATTCTATGATGTGGTTCTGCCTCATATACTCCTTTATCCGTGGGATCGATTGTTCAACGTCCTTTTTTACACCTGCTACTGTGATAATTGGCTGATTTGATTCATAAGCCACTGACACGACGAATTCTTTGTGAATTTGATTCACGAATTTCTTCCACTGCTCACTTTGAGTTAAATGAAGGCAGTCACTCTCAATCCTCATGGTTTCATCTATGAAGAGTTTTTCAAACATTGCAATAGAGGCTTCGATATGTTTTTCATTCATCGAGAAGAATGTTATTTTCCCCTTTTTAATTGATGCAAGAATATCTGTAAATTTCGCTTCTTCAAGGTTTTTCTGGAAAACTTTGAGGCCATCATTCTTGTGAAATACATTCATTAATCCGGGTGATACAGAACAGTGTTTAGATTTGTCCTCAATGTCTCGGATTCTTTCAATCAAATTTAGTTTTGCAAGACCAAGTTTAGAGCTATCTGTTGATTCAAAAATGACCTCTTTTTCTCTGGTTCTCGCTTTGCACGTGTATTGCTCTTTTATGTCTTCTAATATGTTTTCTTTTTTCAAAAGTTCCATTATTTTGGGATATGAGACCTCGACTTTTATCGTTTCTAAAGGCGCATTTGGACTTGAAGCAGGTTGTTCGGGCTCTTTATTAGAATCAGCAACATCTCTTGCGTTTACACCAGTGTTTTCTTCTGCATCTTTTGAAGAGGGTACCTTTACAGCCCTTTCATCATCGTTACAATTCCTTTCTGTTTCGACGTTAGACGTAGAACTTATTTCTTTTTCTACAGGCATTTTCTCAAGAGGGACATCTGTTGATTCGACCTGGGGAGAAACCTCTTTTCTCACGGCATTAGTTGTTCCTTGGGAATCAGGCGATGACTCGCTTTTCTTTTGCTTCATATTCATTGTAAATGCACAGCCCCACACAGATGCAATACTCGGCAACGCGTCTGGAGATGGTACTTGATCAGTTGATGCTTTAGATGTCTCGACCCTGAGTTCAGCCTTTACCTGTGTTTTTCTCGCTGATTCTACCTTAGTCTTTTTAGGGTTTGGACTCGATTGTTCAACACTAATAGGACTGTGAGCTATTTCATCTTCGTCCTCCTCTGCTGTATCATAGTCACTTCCCATTGGTGATTCGTGTGCACCAGATGATGGCGTGTCTTCTTCACCAATGCTATCCTCATTTCCTTCTAGTATTGAGCATTGTAACACAACCGCATCCAATGGTTTCTCAGTCAACTTCTTTTGAAGCATGTTTATATCTAATAAAAATAAACATATTCTTGAATCACACTGGGTAACAATAGGTATAAGCACAGGTGCTAAAGTAACAAAGAACAATAGGCGCTACAAGAGTATAAGCAAGAAAAAGAAAGCGGTCGCGAGAAAACAAAACCGCAATAGTCCAAAGTACAATTCGAAAGTCCATAAGAATGTCAAAGGTCCTATATGTTATTCGAGAAGTGTCAAGTCTTACTTAGAACAATAATTTGCATGCAGTATATAATTATTGACATAAAACAACTCAAATGCTCAATGGTTATCTCTCAAATTATACTAACTTTTAAAAATAAATACTAACCTTCAATCTCCCGCTCAAAAGTTACTATTGCTTTCCCATTGGCCTTAAGTTCGACATTTGTCACTTCATTTTCAAGATCATCCTCATCATCGTCCTCAAGTAGGTTCTCAAGGAACATTTCTAAGCCATCACAAGAAGTTTCTCGACTAAGACCCTATTAAAATAGTTTTTTATGTCAGTTGCGTACTTTTAATTTAAAGCTAACTAACTTCTGAAGCTCCACAAAATATTAGTTAACAAAATAAGTTTTAATTTCAAGTTTCAAGTAAGACCCGTTCAGTTTGTCATTGCATGGTGCATATTTATTTCATTTGGCGGTACATGTGTTAATTTGGTTATGAAGTTGATAATACTTATCAAATGGTCCTTGTTTATAATTTGAATTATGTTACAAAAAGGGCTAAACTAAACTGTTTTATGTCTGTGTATTTATAAAGCCCTGGCATTATGATTTTGATCTCATTGGATTTCATTCACTAACCTTAAGAAGTACCTTCGCCATTATACGTTACACTGTAGAGTGAGCTCAATCTTATTTACTAAAACAAAAAAATGTGTCAAGTATAATAGAACAGAAAGTATATATTGGAGCAGCCTGCCCTTTGTGATCGTATTGTGAAGTCTACAGATACTAGAAAAACAGCAACTCCACGGAGTAGCAAATCCCACCGAACAAAACATGTTTTGATAAATACTGGTATTTCAATTATCAAAATTATGTTTTTATGAATCATGGTTGCCATTTTGAAATTCAGTGGCCATCTTGAAAATATCTTCTTGAGTAGAACTTCTTTGTCTCTAGGCATCAGTATATAGAATTTGAACTAAACCCATCAACTGGTATTTGAGTTATCAAAGGTTACGTTCTTTTATGAAAAATTGCGGCCATTTTGAAATTTAGCTGCCATCTTGAAAATCCCTTCTCGAACAGAGCTCCTATGTCCCTAGGCATCAGAATGTAAAATTTGAACCAAATCCATTCAATGGTATTTGAGTTATCAAATATAACGTTTTTTAACGAAAAATGGCCGCCATTTTGAAATATGGTGGCCATCTTGAAAATGTCTTCTTGAGCAAGGCTCCTTTGTACCCAGGCAACAGCATACAAAATTTGAACCAAATCCATCCACTAGTATTTGAGTTATCAAAGATTGTATTTTTTCCGAAAAATGGCCGCCATTTTTAAATATGGCGGCCATCTTGAAAATTCTTATTGATCAAGGCTCCTTTGTACTCAGGCAACAGCCTATAAAATTTGAATCAAATCCATCCACTAGTATTTGAGTTATCAAAGATTATATTTTTTCGGAAAAATGGCCGCCATTTTGAATTTAGCGGCCATATTGAAAATTCCTTCTCGAGCAGAGGTCCTACACCCATAAGGCACAAGCCTATAAAATTTGAATGAAATCCGTCAACCGGTATTTGAGTTATTGCCCGGACACACGAACGGACGGACGGACGGCTTTTCTATATCCCCCTCGAACTTCGTTCGGTGGGATAATGAGGCTGGTTTGTGACCCACACTCTGATTTTGGTTTTCCCAGCTCGTGTATTTTGAAATACAATTTGAATGATAATACAGTAACATAACTGTTATGATCGAAATTTACATTTGGAAACAGGGCTGTATCTCATACCTACTATTGTTGAAAGTTGGTGATAATATTGGGAGTATATAAATTATCGACGCGAAGGGCGGTGGATGTTTTCTGTATCCGCCCAGTATCTCCAAATCTATTTTAACGTTAGTTGCTTGATTTATTGCCTCACTGATTGACATCATATTAATTTTGTTTGTCGTTTTGCCGGTTGATTTATTGGTAAATAAATTCTGTTGCTTGTTTGGTTGTTTGCTTGATTGGTTGTGTCAGTGGTACGTTGATTGGGATGTCAGTTGGGCGTTTTAAGGCATAAAATGAAAACATCAAATTCCTAACAATGGTAGGAAGGTAGGGTACCCGGTCACGCTACCCGGTCACCCGATTTTTTACACAAACCCGCATTTTTTAGTACGGAAAGTCAAAAGCAATACGTAAAGCTTACGTATATTATACTAGGCCTATGTATAGAAAATGCCGGATTAGGCCTGAAGGAAATATGTGTATCCCCAAAAGACTAATACGCAACTGAGTGAGATGCTATTTTCCAAGAGATACATGTAGGTCCAATATCTAAATCGTAACTGTAAGCCTAGTGATCAAAACGAAACTAATGCAATTCTCATATCACTAGATTCTGCAGTTCCTCAGTCAGTGGTCCATTTTCTGGAAAGCCACCAAAGCCGTGGCCTGGCCAGAAATTCTTTCAAAATCATGCAGTTTTTCATCATTCTGAGCACCTTTCTCGTGATTTTGCCAAAACTCAAAAAACTCCCCCTTGTAAAAGCTGGCTAATGACAGGAAAGCAGATACATTTAGCTGACCGGAATTTTAATCAACATTTCACGTAAATCGGCCTAGACTTGGGATATTTTGATAAGCATTATTAATATTCAAAATTTCATACACGATTCCTCCTAAAAAATGTTGCATACAGAATATACCCTACACTCAACTAAACGTTATCTATCTTACTTAGGTCCAGAGCCTTCCCTTCGGAGCTGTACACTCCATCTCTACAGCAAAGTTAATAACATATATACATATATAAACAAAACAACTGGTGAAAGTTAATCCTCACCTTAGGTTTTCCTTCAAACTACGTTATAAACGCTGAGATGTTCATTCGGAGACCATGTTCGAAGATTCCAAAAAGTTTTTGTTCGCAGAAATATGACTCATAAATTTCATGTTGTTCAGAGGGGAATCCCCGGAATTTCTTGATCATGTGATTAAGACATAAAAACTTGAGTAGATGCAGTACTTTACTTCCGGGTAAAAAATCCTGCGTGGGTATAAAGAAAACAAAAACAATCATACAAAAACAAACTTGTTTGCCAGGAAAAAATCTATACGGTTTAAGCTATAATGGACACTACATGTATGGTATATACTGGATCTGAAGTTTTATTTTTGTCACGTGTATCGTATATGACAGTGGTATAATAAATACTTTACAATAGGCCTATATACAGGGTGGGCCAAAAAACAATACCAACGTTTTAAGATGAATGGTTCAAATGGTATATGTTAAACCGTGGCATATATATAATTTTCAAGATAAATCATTCCCTAACAATATGTTTTCTCGTGGAGTTAGAGGCTAAAATTGACACTAAGTGTCCCATGATCGACCAAAAATGAAAATTCCCCCAAGCACCTCTTTCGCTAGAACACATAGTTGTTTCCTCCACACGGTCAACAAATTCTCGGGAAACGTAAGATTGAAACATAAGGGGATGCAGTCACATCCAATGTACCGCTCCCAGTGGCGTAGGAACAATGTACGCCAAAACGCCAGTGCGTAGTGTTGAAAAGTGAGAATAAAAAGGCTTATTAATTTTCCTATGTTCTTTATTCATATTTTCTCATTGTATTGTGCAAAAGTAATCTCGAGCACACTAGCCTAAAGAAATCTTTTGTGGATACCATATGATATGCTCTTTTTCAATAGTACTCTTTTGCATGGTTTTTGTGCCTCTGTTATTTTTCTAATCTGGGCCATAAATTACACTTTTTGAAAAATAAAATATTGAAAGTTACCTTGTTTCTATAGTTCTAATACTGTAGAAAATGCAAAGTAACATGCTTTATTTCATGATAATCGAGCCACTATTGACTACCTTCGCCAAATATTCGTGATTCGCGTTCTCTTCACGAATTTGAGAAAAACATTTTTTTTTCAAAAACTACTTGATGAATACCTTTGCATTTTTTTGCGCATGTTCTGTAATGCTTATGCAAACTGTGGTATCGTTTAATTATAATGATGAACCTCTTTAAAAGAGATGTATATTTTTTTATTCTCCCCTACTCCCAATTTTTCAATTTCACTATATCGATTTATATTCCGTTGCTAGGCAAAATCATAGACAGAAATTATAGTTAAGTCAGCAATTATCTATTTTCTTACTAATATGAATGTTAAAGACAAAAACAACTTAAAAATGTTGATTATTCAAATACGCGTTCCATCGATTTCAGTTCTAGAAAAGCTATTACTTAGATTTTTATTTCATTTGAAAAATAATAGATTATTGTTTTAGGAAATATAACATTTTTGGCACCCCTAAGTCACGTTGACCTCGATTTGACCTTTGTGGTGGGGAGTTTATTTGGTCTTGCGAATTAGTGTTATAAAAAAGGTTGCAGACATTAGGGCTAATTGTTTCATTGATCACGAATGCGTTTCTTTAAATCATTTGATCAAGCTAGATTTTTTAATCTGTACGTGTCGTATTGCACGGTACACGATGGAATCAGACAATACTATCTCAATTCAATTATTCGAAAATGATTAAAAATCTCTCATTGTTATTTGGAAACCAGAACAACGGCAACGCCAAAGCGTAGCGAATCCCATCGAACAGAAATGGCTGGCATTTTTACAAACGAATAGCAAATATCATAAAACAACACACCAGAAAGGCCACCATTTTCAAATTGGTTGCTCACTAGCCAAGTTGTCATCAGAAGAAATAATATGCTTTTCAGTAGCCACCTCTAAAATTTTTGAAAAATCGCACACGTATTTGTAAAATAACACACATAAAAATGGTGGCCATTTTTCAAAATGGCCGACTACTCCCCAAAGTTTTATTAGACAATGTGCCATGCTTTAAGTATTCACACATCAAATATGAACAAAATTGCTCCACTACTTTTCGAGTTATAGTAAAATACGTTAAAATGGCGGCCATTTTTCAAAAAAATTTCAAAATGGCCGCCTTCTACCAAAAGTGTCATAGGACAGTGTGCCATGCTTATAGTATTCACACACCAAATATGAACAAAATCGCTCTACTATTTTTTGAGTTATAGCAAAAATCGTAAAATGACGAGTAAAGGCCGCCATTTTTCAAGATGGCTGCCATGTGCTTCTTTAATATCTACATTTGTAGCATTATTAATGTCCTTTATAATTCTTTTACATTTAAAACATATTGATATAACAGTTTTACATATTGCACCTAAATTACTGTAAAATCGGCACTAAAATGGCCGCCATTTTGAAATGAGCGGCCATTTTGAAAATCGGCTTTCGAGCAGAACTTCTACCCCCATAAGGTATATGTGTACAAAATATGAACAAAATCGGGCCAACGGTATTTGAGTTATTGCCCGGACGGACGGACAGACGGACGGACGGACGTACGTACGGACGGATGTACGTACGGACGGACGTACGTACGGACGGACGGACGGACGGACGGACGGAGGCGTTCCCTATATCCCTCCGAACTTCGTTCGATGGGATAATTAATCGTCTATATCGTTCGAGACATAAGAAAAGTGAGAATGCTTTGTGATTTTCCATGGTGATTTTAAATGATGAAAATCATTCGAACATTTTAAGCACATTAAAAGGGGCATCAAGGATTTTAAGCTTGCATATAAAATCGAAACGCCAACCTATACGTATGACCAATCGCCCATACAAATGCATCGCTTAAACATTTCCGTTCACATTTAGGTTATAAAAACATTGCATTCTATTGCCATAAAATGACGTTTAACGAGCATAAAATAGGCGTTTTGATATAGAAGATTTGACACAATTGTTTCATGGTTTTGGCGGGATTTTTTGGCGTAGTGTTGAATTTACACCTTCCTACGCCCCTGGCTCCACATGTGTACGCCGAAATCTCGTCATGAATGTCATCCTCAAACCATTTAAAACTTGATTTAAATAACTCAACATAGGTTCTTTACATGTTAGTTAGAATACACATTTCATAATTTTGCTGTCTTTTACTTTTTGGTGTTTCCTCATTGGCCCTTTCACATATATATTTTCGTTTTTAAATTCCATCTGTGTGAGTTTCGTAATTCTCTTTGTATTTCCCTTTTTGGCACAGCACATGTGTTTTCATGATTTTTAAAATTGGAAACACAACTAAACAACAGCAACGCCAAAGCGTAGCAACAAATCCCATCGAACAGCCATGGCTGGCATTTTTACAAACAAAGTATATAGCAAAAATGACCACCTTCTACCACAAGTGTCATTAGACAGTGTGCCATGCTTATAGTATTCACATACCAAATATGAACAAAATTGCTCCGCTACTTTCTGAGTTATAGTTAAATACGTTAAAATGGCGGCCATTTTTCAAAATGGCCGCCTTCTACCAAAAGTGTCACTAGACAGTGTGTCATGCTTATACTGTAGTATTCACATACAAAATATGAACAAAATCGCTCCACTACTTTTCGAGTTACAGCAAAAATCGTAAAATATAGAGTAAACGCCGCCATTTTTCAATATGGCTGCCACGTGCTTCTTTAAAATCTACATTTCTAGCTTTATTAATGTCCTATATGTTTTTTTTACGTTTAAAACATATTGCTATAATTACAGTTTTACATATTGTACCTAAATTACTGTAAAATCGGCCCTAAAATGGCCGCCATTTTTGAATGAGTGGCCATTTTGAAAATCAGCTTTCGAGCAGAACTTGTACTCCCATAGGGTATACAGGGTGTCCGGAAAGTAAAGATACAAATACTCTAATTTTAAGAGATTTAGTTTTTTTGTGATGAAATCGCTACAGATTGTAGAGGAACTACATAACAATACATCTACTAAATTTCATAACATATAGTCTAAATGTGTTAAAGTTACAGTTGACATGGTTACGGTGGTGAGGGGTATGCGGAGCAGTTCCAGGATATCGATAAATTGTGATAAATTGCTAAAATATAACCATTTGAAATAGTGTTTATTATTGTATTTCTTATCAGTTTTTTGTTTTGTTCAATATTGTATTCTTGCTGCCATTGTAATTTCTTTAGTATAACGATATCATTGATACATATCAGAACAATGTAATGCCACAAGTATATTCAAAGAAAAAGAGTATATGAGTGCTTAGAAAAAAGGTCCTGGATTAAAAGGAAAGCCAATAGTGCACCTCCACAGTCAATGCTCCAATGCACAAAGCAAAGAAAACAAATCTTACAATTGAATGTCTTGCCATTAACTTTTTGTACAATGGCCCATATTTCCCTGATAATGTCCCGTTGGACTTCTACATTAATGAATATGTTAAAGCAATTTGTGAGAAGTTCAACATAAAAATGAGACTCGGCTGGAAGCCAATGTTATCAGCAATGTTAGAGACTGACAGCAAAGGTTTTGACAGGTCTTGAATCTCCGGTCAAAATGCACCAAGAATGTTTAGATAAAGGTGGAAAATACATAATACTTGATAACAGTAGTAGTGTCAAATGAATTAATAATGTTACAGTACTATAATCCCTTGCTGTTGTGGTACATAATCTGATGTATAATAGCAACAGATGACAGAGTGTCAAGATGATATGAACAGGAGAAAAGAATTATAAGACATAATTGTGACGCTGCTCCACATACCCGCGACTCCTGTTACCATAACAACCATAACTTTTTTATTTTGAAACAATTTGTCATGGCGGTTGCATGATAAATTGTTACAATGTCATTCTACAATCTGTAGCAATTTCATCTCACAAAAGGTAAATCTAATGAAATTAGAGCATTTGTATCTTTACTTTCCGGACACCCTGTATGTTTGCAAAATATGAACAAAATCGGGCCAACGGTATTTGAGTTATTGCCCGGACGGACGGACGTGTTCCCTACATGTATATCCCTCCGAACTTAGTTTGATGGGATAATGAATGACCAAGAGTGAACACCAATCGGCAAACCGCATATTATATTCGTGAATAATTAATTGTAATTTCTACTATCTGACTGTCAATTAATGCTATTGTAAGCCTTTGATTGAGACCAGTTCTACATGCGTATTCTGGCCAATTTATTAACTCAAAAATTTAAATACAAAGCCAAAAATTTTAAATATTGTAGAAGCAATGTATTTTTAAATCGATGTAATATAAGCTGAATAAGCATAAAACAGTTTAGGTACAGCTTTCCATAAACATTTTACATGATTTAATATCTATTCTGTCAAAAGCATTATGTGAAGTATAGATCTATAGAATCACATGCTGAGAATATATTGCGCCATGTTCGGATGTAATGCGAACGTTTCGTAATGCGAAAGTCTACATATATGTGGACTGCTACAGTACTCGCACTTTCCCGATTAAATAAATACTATGGCATATGATTCCTTTGATGTGGATATGCACATCCAAGGGTTTAAAATCTCTGTGTTTTCTTGAATCAGCCAACATCACATTACCAAATATTACAGGTGCTATACTATATCCTCTGATATGTGATGATATACTCTGGATAGGCATGTGACTTTTCATACACAATGAATTCTCTAAAGTTCAAAGGTTGTTTTGGGTTGGTTTTTGGACGATAAATTGCCATAACAGAATCATATTTATCGTGTCCTTTAGAGCACTGTATATCGTTACATCCTTTTTTGTATTTCAGACAAGGAGGCATCTTGAAGTCATAGTCACTTTCAGCAACATATACATTGCCTAGCAGTACACGCATTAGAAACATCTTTAGGTCTGTTCCTTTAGCCACACGTCCCTTCCCAGTAATGGGATTCGGTTTGTGATCTGAAACATTGACAGCATTGACAATTTATTCTGGCAAAATAACAGATATACATGTATCACTGCTAGTGCCATATTATAAGTTATTGAATGATTTGAAGTGCAATACAGGATATATTCTGCTCGAGAAATTCTGTATTGGAACGAGACGAAGTAACAACGTTTTTATCGTGTGATCCTCTGTATTGCTACTGAGATTGTCCCCTCCGTACCAATATTTTCTGTATTTCGATGGAGATGATCAACGGGGACAATCTCAGTAGCAATACAGATTGGTACAGCACAAGAACTGACCAATCAGAGGGCTTCATCTTACAGATCATATGATAAATACTGACATAAATGCTCTTATTTTCCTGTATCAATATATGTCTGAGTTCAGGCCAAAATATATAGTATACATGTATAATAAAAATGCTAGAAACCATGAAAACACATGGTCGCTTTTTCTACAGACTTAGATATAGTCAAATACGGTCTTTACCTGAATATTGATCAGATTTAGTTGAGCTCTCCGCCATATAAATACCAGAGCCCATCATTGCATTCTTGCTCATCCTTGCATCTGCACCATGCTTTGATATGCCTAAAGAATGAATAAAGAACAGTGTATTTAGGTTTCACTTGACAATATTTATTTTTAATGATGACAAGTTGAATACTATTGTATCACAATAATAATAAGCTTTAAAATCAAAGAACTTTCCAACCATTCTTACCATCAACATATTCTGGTTTAACTCCATGGAATAAGTAGCACTCATTCACTTCGGTGATCAGCGCACTATCCAGTGTGGACAGTCCAAGTGTTGAAGTGAAGACTGGTGACTGGTTGGCATATCCAATTGGTTGAATCTTTTTAGCTATAGCAGCTCCACACATAACTTGTAGCTTAGCGTAATACTGCTTAAACACATCTTTATTTTCCACTCGTTCAATATTCGTTACCTTTATTCTTTTATAGTTCCCCAAACCCACTGCATCGTTTCCTTGTCCAATTAGGTGTGACTTCCATGTGCCCCCTTGTCCCCATTCTGCTGTAAACAGTTTAGTGATTTCTTGTATCCTCTTCGGATCTTTCACTGTTACTATATTCTTGAATAATTTGTTCTTCCAATAGTCTGGATAAATACTTTGAAGTTTATTATCGCATATTTGATGTAACAAAGCCTTCGTTCCAGACTGAGCACGTTTCTCTCCAAGAGCTGCATCTTTGAGAATTTGTTTGTGAATCTTTTTGGCTGTTGCATCAACTGCACCTCTGTTCCCTTTCAATATTAAGTCTCCGGATTTTGAACTTTCTGCAAATGCAAAAAAATTTACATACACTAACATCGAAAGCTAACGAATTAAATCAAGAAGCAATACACAAAAACATCACTGAAAACAAATTTGTCTGACAATGTGCAGACGTGAGATGCTGACAACTATTTATACATCAGTCCCGTTTTTGTTCTAAACTTACCAACGAAAATCATCTTCTTTTGTTCATCAGTCATCATTCCAATTACATCACCGACAGTTAAGTGTTCTTCATGGATTTTTTCCTCTTCATAGTTTTCTTCTACAATCTGCTGAATTTTCTTTTCAACTGCATTCACGTTGTCTGCTTTGAACCCAACTATACAGACATCCACTGCATTCCTTGCATGTATTGATGGTCCTGTTTTTGCTGGTGATTGTTTTTGAAATTCTACAATATATAATTCAGTTTCAACTCGTCAGCTCGTCCATTTGCCTTTGCCTCTAGACTCTGTGACCGTATTTTATAGCATGTAAAAAGATTTGACCAATAGGGATAGACCCATGAAACTTAGTAGAATGAGAGAACAAAGAACTAGGTTTAATTTTGCGAAATAAGATTTCAAACCCATGCTGAATGACTATGTTTCGTTTGGGTTACCTTTTTAGGCTCACCCTGTATACTGTATCACATATATTGACATTTTTATTTTTATTTATTTTTGGTTTATTTTCACTTATACTCTATATGTATACCTTTCTTACGATCTTCTGCTTTGGGTTGATGTTTGTGTCCAGTGTGTGAATTGGCTTGCTGACTACTGCCGCCATTCATCTCATTAATTAACGCACCACACATACTGCCGTCAAACACATGCAAGTTCACATGCTGAAATTAAATTTAAACCTAGAATTTTACGCAGAATAAGAGTATAATGCCCTGGGAATATTTCTTAAACATAGACATTTTACTTCACTATATCAACCGAACATACACTCCCCTCCATAAGTTTGGCAACCTTTTTTCCCCCATTGAACTACGTGTTAAAGCCTCTTTACCTCTGAATTTTTATTTACTTAACCTGCGATGAAAATACTTATACTATTGATGGAAACGTAATTTGACTTTAATTCCAATACCTCCAAATTTTCTCAATTTTTTTCCTCAATTACAATAGGTCGAAAATTGATGATAAATTTGATGAAATTTTGAAAATCGACATTCCCATGTTAACCAATGGGAAATGGTAGGTTTGCCGCAAGTCATATGACAGAATATCCATCCATCCGAGTCATGGCAAAAAATACGAGTTAGGCAGGCAATTGAATTTGCTAACTTTATTTATCAAAAAATTGATATGTTTCTTCAGGTTCAACAAAGTTATAGGGTTATAAAGTCAAAATTGTTTTTCAAAAAAAACTCTCCCATTGAAATAACACAGGAGGCGAAAAATTATTTTCAAAAATGACTTTGAAGCGCTGTAACTTTAATATTCATCAAATAAACTAAACACTTAGTGTTCAAAAAAGTAAGACAATTCAATTTTCTATATAAAAATATTTTTTGCTGAATCTTTTACTAAAAAGATATCCTGATTTCTGATTTGCCCCGAACCCTCCATTTCCCATTGGATTACATGGGAATGACGATTTTCAAAAATTCATCAAATTTATCATCAATTTTCGTCCTATTGTAATTGAGGAAAAAAATTGAGAAAATTTGGAGGTATTGGAAATAAAGTCAAGTTACGTTTCCATCAATATTATTGTTTATTTCATCGCCGGTTAAGTAAATAAAAATTCAAACGTAAAGAGGCTTTAACACATAGTTCAATGGGGAAAAAAGGTTGCCACACTTATGGAGGGGAGTGTACATTGTACTATTTCGTATATTCATCCGTGATGCTTTGCCTCGTTGAGTCTTAGATAGTCTTAGTCTTAGATCAAGCGTATCAGTTTCAAGTGGTGCTAAATGTCAATCCTTTAGATGTTTTTGAGTGAAATGTGGATGACATTTTAACTAAAAATATTTTTTCTGTGCCTATTTACGAGCAAATATATAGGCCATTGAACAGAGAATATTTTGAGCCTACTGATTGTTGTAATAATTACCTTGATCGAAGTTTTCATAGCAGTACATTTCTTTAGACTAAGATCCAAGGCTTTGTAAAATACACTGATTGGATACTGGTTGAGTCCACCTGGACCGATTGGTGGTAAGGACAGACTAGAAAAACCAAGTTTTGAGGTTTCCCCTAACAAACGTCCTATCATTCTTTGCAGAATCTACCAAATGAAGAAATGACAACAATTAGGGACGTTAAAGTCCCCGTCTAAAGTTTGAAAACATTTTTTTATCATTCATTTACTATTTGTCAGGACGACTTAAAAAATGATTTTAGAGATTTTTGAACAAAAACAATTTTTGAAAAAAAAGTTGTGAGCATTTCATTTCTCAAATATTCAAATTTCCCGCCATTTTTCAAAAAAAGTTGAAATTTCTTAATCATCAAATATTTCTTAATGCATTTCAAAAAAGATGATCTTTTTAACACCAATGCAAAGGTTGAACAAAGGACACACTATTTCAATAATAAAATGCCATATTTAATGGGCCATTTCAATGTTTTAACATATAGTATCAAAAATATTTTGAAACATTAGTGAAATTTTTTTTCCATGTCAATCTTTTCTAAATATGTTAGACTTTCATAAAAAACAAATGTTGATTATCTAACAAGGTTAACCCTTTCCCGACGTGAATATAAGAGGAAAATGTTGGCTCTGGTGAGGGATAAGTAAGAGCAGTTTTTAGGGGAAAACTGCAAAATACCTACGCCCCGGGACCTATACCCTGAATTTTATCACTGAAATACAATTTTTAGTAAGGATTATCACATTAGAACAACTTGTCAAAATTTGGTGTAAAAATACTGAATAGAACTGGAGATATTGTCATTTCATTGATGTATATAGATAAAAATAATGGTGCCAAAAGGAGCCTATCGTCCTGAAAGGTATTACATTATAGGGCTCCATATGGAGCCTATCGTCGTGAAAGGGTTAAAAGGAAGAATAAATTATGCTTTAGATATCATTGTACCATTGGTTTCTATGAGAACTAAAATTTTGAAATGCATTTTCTCAGAACCATTTTCATGCACTGATAAGTTCATTTCTCGCTTATTTATGAACCGATTTTCTTAATTTTTTCGGCAAAAAACATGGGAGGATGAATGCTATGCATTGGTATGAATTGTGGCTAATTAGAAGATATGAGTGACCTCTAAAAGTTGGTTTTAAATAAATTCACAAATTTTGGAACAAAAAGTCTATCAAAAACCACTTTTTGAAATAAAAAAAAAAAGTTTCACATATCACACTTTGATAACATTGGGTAAGACTACAATATAAGCCAAAGTGGTTTAAACTTTATATGGGGCCTTTAACTGATCATTAACAATAAGGTTTAAACATCTGACTGCCGATTATACTGCAAATCAACCTGCGTTTGTGGCATTTGGCTTGTTTACCAGTTCTTGACAACGTTATTGGTAGCCAGAATGTAAATAATTGTTAAGTAAAAAAATAATGATAATTGATTGGTACATACATTTCCATCGTGGTCATACTTGAAGGCTGGACATATGGCATGTATTACATTACGGCACTGGAGATTGCCAGCACTACGAGTTACAATCACACTCCCCCAATCGATATCTCTGGTGACTTTAGATTTTACTTCCTGGGTTAAGTATAAAAGTATTCACAAATAAAAATACATTTTGTGGCTATATAAGCTCAGAATTGTGCACTGTTCTTTTTAAAATGAAATCCAACATTAAATCTTACATTAATGAAATAACAAGAGTGTTTCAGAAAAGATGTAGCCTAACCCACATAATCAATATATAACCATTGTTTTTGCATAAGTAACGTTGGTTCAATGTTCTTGAGTTTTGTCAATTTCATCATTGTGTCATGATTGTGTATGACCCATTTGTTGCCCATATAAAAGACGTACTCCAAATGGCTACAACCTATCAATATGGGACATACTTGAAAATATTCATTTATTCCATGTTATTCCTCGTTTGAGCTCTGAAATGGTTCTAGGATTGCACAGGGTTGGCCAAAAACGTCCATATATATATTTTTGGCAGGATATGCAGAAATCAATTTTACAACTGTTCCTGAAGTAGGATAAGGTGAACAGATACTAGTTGTCTATTTGAAAATGTCAAGGGTGAAATCCAAAGGGGGATTTTACATTTATATAAGTCATGCCGTAAATTAAATTCGAACATGACTGTGTTCACGCCTTCTATAAACTATAAACAAAGTCAACATTTCACCCAGGGTATTTTTTGGAATAGTATCCCTAATGTCTGTTTACCTTTATCATCAAGAACCCCGATTTCGATTTCTGCATATCCTGTCAAATTCTTATTGAAATCCACACATTTTCAAAAAGGTTACATCAATAAAAAAATTATGGACATTTTTGGCCCACCCTCCAGACATACACTTATCTTTCAGGATCAGAGCCATACATGTATATACCAATGAAAAGCACGTTTCGTCAATAACAATGCTCAAAATTTGTAAATCTGTCTGCAGAAGTGGTAGAAACTTAGGGTGTGTTTTTTTAATGACCAGCAAATGGTCCATACACATGCTACAGTAATGAAACAGTGTCAACTTGAAGAACTCTGAACTTTTCATTATCCCAAACATGATTTGTCATATTCCGTTTGTTAAAAAGATGCATTGTTAGGTGGATTGCATTTTTTGAAACACCCTGTACACGTATGTACCCTATAGCCTATACAGGGCGTTCATAAAGTTCTTGCAAAAGTACTCTAATTTTTTGTTTCTCAATAAATCTGGCTGAAATTTTCACTCAGTATACCTACACTATTCATACATTTGAATCTTGAATTATAATGAACAGGTCCTTGAAGAAAAAAAAGTTATGATTGCTATAGTAACACGAGTCAGGGGTAGGCGGAGCAGCATTGAAAAAAAGAAAAAGATAGATAAAATATATGGGTTAGAGGTAATTTTAACATACTTTAAAGTATCCTGGAAAATACAAAACAAGCTAATTTTGCCATGTCAACCCTAGATGATGTCATATGATGACATCAAAGTTGAAATTTCTTTGATTCATGACATCACTGATGGTATCAAAGTGACCTATATTGGTTGATGACATCGGCCTTTGTGAAAGGCAGCATCAATTTTATTTTTGTGAAAATGGCTGCAAAATCAGCAAAAGATGATGATTTGCAATTACAAATATTCAGTAGCATTGGGATGTATGTTTTACTGGGAAATTCAGAAAAACAAACACTTGAAGACATTCATAAAGCGTTTGGGAAGGAGTCTATGACCAAAAGAGCCATCTACAAAACAGACTAAGACATTTACTGATGGTAGAACAAATATTAAGGACAATGCTAGATCAGGATGTTCAAGAACGAAATCCAATGAGCATCAGATGATGTTGATGAAAGCCATCCATACAAAGATCCATCGCAAGAAATTTTCCAGATGAGTTCCTTCATCTGTTTGAGGAATGGTAAGTTAGACAGCAGAGGTGTATAGACCATGATATACTGTGCACTATTCTGAGCACATTACACTCTTGAGATACTGTTATTAAAGTAAATAGGACAAGTTAAAAACATTTTGAACATTCAAACAAAACAGATCCTTTTTTGCGTGCTCCACCTACCCCCTACGCATGTGACTATAGGAACCATAACTTTTTTTCCTCAAGGACCTATTGATTATAACTTAGGATCTCAATGTATAAATAGTGTAGGTATACTGAGTGAAAATAACAGCCAGATTGACTGAGATACAAAAATTTTAGAGTACTTTTGCAAGAACTTTATGAACGCCCTGTACATGTGCATGAAAGACACATACATATTTACATTATTTAGTATTTAGTTTAATACAGAAATTATTTGAATAAAATAGTATATTTCAAATAAATCCCTATTATACTTATCTTTCTCAGATTTAGTAAAGTGCATGTTTTGGCTAATAAAATTATGTTCACATATAATAATTGTGAACAATAATTTCTTCTTATATATACTTTTTATATATACTTTCTTCATATTTCTCTGAGAATCAATACATTTAATTAGACATTAATATACCTCAGCCAACTGAGATCCTCCTTGATTGAGAAATGCTTTTGATATCACAGATTTCGATTTCTGAAGATCTGGGGGATTTCCCAATATATTCACAAGCACTTCATCCTATAAATTAATATAATGAAATAAATTACAACAATCAGGTACACAAATTCATAGAAAACAATAGGGTTCTGAATACCAACTTCAATAATAATTTAAGTCAAAATCAAAATAGGAAATGTAAGACAGATAATGAAATGCCATTGTTATTCAACAGGTAAATTTGTATTTATATTTTATTTCTGATGAACATATTTTTTATTTTATAAATATTTTACCTTGACTTTACTGATATCCCCTTGCTTAATGTTGAGTTGAATATTCCCAAATTGTTTATGGGGCGTTTTTGTGTTAGGTCTAGCAGGTGGAGATGACCCTCTTCCACCTACAATAACATATAGGTGCATATATGTGTATATATATATCATTTTTTATAATATGATCTGTAAGTGCATGCACCACAATGGGAAATTTCAAAGAGTATTCCCAAACACAGCAAAACATATAAAGCACAGCCACTCATAATGAAAATCCCAATATCACAAAACGTGATCTCATATACTCAAAACAATGTCAAACACGTCTTTTGCACTATTTAAGAATAAACACAATTTGAAACCCACAAAGCCAAGACACATTTCATTCATAATAAAGTCATGACAAGGCATGTTAAAGAAATCCATCAAAATATATATCAAAATTTGTTGAAGGTACTTGTACTAACCAAGATGTAGTATAAATAGACTAAACCAACTATAAATCGTGCACAAACAAATACAGCATATTACTGCTACTCATACATATGGAATAGTCTAGAAAAGGAATAATATAAAAATACCTCCACTTTTGTGGAATGAGGTCGGACTAACACTTCTGCCACTGCTTCTACTACCGCTACTTACACTGCCACTACCATTTAGAACACGTTTGTAGTCCGTGAATATGGCATCGCCATAGACAACCAAGGTAACATCCTAAAAATAAAGAGAGACACTAAGACCTGATGATTTTAGATATACTAGATAGTTATCAGGTATAATACTACCTCCAAACTTATTTTGGTTTTGTAAAAATACACATGTTTACCTTTAATGAAGCTTGTTTAGGAGAACTGTAAAGTGCCTTAGAGATGGCATCCCAGACTTCTTTAGTGCTGAAGCCACAATTTCCACTACCCAATGCTGGGACACCCACACTGGTCTTTCCTTTTCTGTTAACCTCTTTGAAACACTCCGTAAACATGTCCTAATAACAAGAAAATAAGACATATTATTCAACTGTGTACTCTTAACTGTTATAGCATATTGTTAACATATTCATAGAGCCATACCATGTTTAAATGAGGACAGTTTTGAAATCAAATTTGATATTTACGAGGATAAAACGTACTAAATTTTAAAACAACAAAATAAGATGTACTCACAGATAATCTGGATGGCCCTGCCTGACTGAGTGGGCAAACTGCATGGACTACATAGTCGGCTTGTATTGATCCACTGGCATTAGTCACAAATGTTGACCCATAATCTGCATTCCCGTCACCTAACTTGGCCTTTTCCATTTCTAAATTCTAGAGTATAGTACCATATAATAAATTATGTCCCCAAAAATATAGAAGTCATCAACAGTGATGTTTTGTGCTATTGACTGATCTTTTGAAGTTGCAATCTATAATGCGATCGATTTGGTACATATATCTTTTCCACATCTGATTTTATTTGATTGTGGAGATTGCAGAGCAAATGTATCTTCACTATTTTAAGTATTGGATCTTTTTATGATACAAAAATGAGTTTTAATAAAATACCTTGATGAATCCATTTCCTCCTTGCTTTATGAATGCCAATGTGGTGGGTGATGCTTTTATTGATTTAGGGCTAAACATACTTAACAAACCAGATGCGGGACTTTGAATTTCCATCACAGTTCTAGAACATGAGTTCACAAGGACATCCGCCTAAAAGTTGAAAATGGACTCTAACAATGTTTGTATATTACGAGACTCCAGCGAGAGTAACACACAAGTAATAGTGTTCCCAGTAAACAGAATGTCATTCCCTTGTATAATATTTAGTTTATTTTATTGTATAAAACACACTACTAACTTCTGCATTATATACTGTGACGAGACCAATTGTAACACCAACGTCTTAAATTCAAGTTCAAGAAAGGCAATGTTAAGTGTGCATATTACAAGTCTTTAATATCAATCATAATGCCTTTTAATTCTAGAATATCATCAATTTGCGCCATCTGGATATACAGGTATATGATCAAAAATAGCATTGTTTTCCAGAAGTACATACCTTTTGAACGCTAATGTCTCCCTCAACTAATGTCAACTTTATGTTATTGAACATTTTAGTGTTGTCCCCATGTCTTTTTGGTGAGGGTGCCCTTTGTCTTTGTGTGGCCTTTTGCCCAGATGGGCCAGTTAGTGGCTTTGGTGCTACAGCTGGTTTGTCATCATACTTGCCTCCTTTATTCCTATAACAACCGGTGTAAAACAGAGCTATATGCTTCTCGGCAACCATGAGACCATTAACCTATCTTAGCATAAATCTCTGGGCATTTACCACAAGTGCAAGAATCAAATGCTACGAAGATATCCCGGATCATTACTGATTTCAGCTGAACCCCACTTCAACGTAATAAAAACAAGGCACAGACGTGAACAATATCGTACCTAAAACACAGCAGTGTGACAGTGAAGAATTTAGGACGGAAAATCCAAAATGGCCACCTTAAGATTTACCCAGAATCCCCAAAAACTAATCAGTTCTTAACTTTGATACATGTACGTAGAAACATCCCTGAAAATTTCAGATGAATCCATCAAATGGTTTGGCTGGAAACCTGTAGACAAGTCTTGAAAGTGAAGATTTTAGGACGGAAAATCCAAAATGGCCACCTTAAAATTATCCCAGAATGCCCAAAAACTAATCAGTTGTTAACTTTGATATGTAGAAACATCCCTGTAAATTTCAAATGAATCTGTCAAATGGTTTGGCTGGAAACCTGTAGACAAGTCTTGAAAGTGAAGATTTTAGGACGGAAAATCCAAAATGGCCACCTTAAATTTTACCCAGAATGCCCAAAAAACTAATCAGTTCTTAACCTTGATACGTAGAAACATCCCTGAAAATTTCAGATGAATCCGTCAAATGGTTTGGCTGGAAACCTGTAGACAAGTCTTGAAAGTGAAGATTTTAGGACGGAAAATCCAAAATGGCCACATTAAAATTTACCCAGAATGCCCAAAAAACTAATCAGTTCTTAACTTTGATACGTAGAAACATCCCTGAAAATTTCAGATGAATCCGTCAAATGGTTTGGCTGGAAACCTGTAGACAAGTCTTGAAAGTGAAGATTTTAGGACGGAAACCCCAAAATGGCCACCTTTAAATTTACCCAGAATGCCCAAAAACTAATCAGTTCTTAACTTTGATACGTAGAAACATTCCTGAAAAGTTCAGATGAATCTGTCAAATGGTTTGGCTGGAAACCTGTAGACAAGCTGAAAAGTGAGACGCCGCCCGCCCGCCGCCCGCCAAGCTGACGACAATATCGTACCTTTATTAGGTACGATAAAAATATAATCACTATGAATATACAGTGCTATGTTTTATTAAAATAGTCTTAAACTGTTAAACTATACCTTTGTAATTTAACACTGATGCAAATTCCTTTGTTTTCGGTCTTTGTCTCTAGTGACTTCAACAAAGCGTGGCCCATTTCACTTGTCAGAAATCCACCCATACCTAAATTTCAATTTTCAAGTACATTAAAATATCTAATGCCTTAGAAACCACTGATATGATTACTATTCTAGTATTAATGATATGTAATGATACTTTATTTGAAAACATGCGATTGATACCTGGTTTAGTCACAGGAAACGTTTTCACTTGTATGGATTTGGACAGCTTGTCCCAGCTTTCCTTTATTGCTTTAACTTGTTCTACCTTCCCCTTTACAATATATCTATTTTGTTTCCTGAACAAAGTTATAGTTGTGCTAAAATGAAATGGTAACATGAAAATTAAAATGTACATAGGAATCATTTTAATTTAAGTAAAGCATTCTCAAATTAAATTATAACACGTAAATGACTAGAATTTGTAATACAATAAACAAATTCGATTGGATGGCTCAAATGATTAATATTTTGTTATACTATATTTTTAACAAATGATGCCCCTTATAAACATGTAATTTAATACCATTGCAGAAATGAAAGCTATCTGATATGAGCTGCATCAGCTAGCCTACAGTGTATGTCTATTATACCTATTGAGTCCAGCGTCAGACAGCAGACTATCCTTCCCAAACTTCTCAAAGTGATGCATCACATCAGGATGGATGTCAAGAGAAATTTCAGTAATGTTGTTTTCCTCTATGAATGCCTTTAATTTGGAAGCTGCATTGTCTACATCTTGCTTTATCCCAACTATTTCCACATCTTTGCGACCACGTTGAAAAAATATGGATAGAATCTTTTCTGAGTGAAGCCTACTGACCAACTGTTTCCATTTCTCACTGTCTAACAGACCGTCTGAACCTTCTGGGAGATGGACTTTCCGGTTATCAAATAATGTTCTGAACTTTTCGCATGCCTCTTGCACATGTGTCCTTTCAACTGAGTAGAATGTTATCTTGCCTTTCTTTACAGATGCCAATACTTGTAATTTTGAAGTGTGCAGGTCATGATCGAGGGCCTCAAGTCCTTTGTTTTTATAGAAAACATTCTTGAGTCCTGGAGATACTGGGAGAGACTCTGAATTACTCTCGATGTCACGAACCCTTTCCATGACTTCAACCTTTGCTTTTGCAAGTTGTGTTTTATCTGTTAACTGAATCACAACCTCATTCTCTCTTCCTTTGATAGTACATCCGGGGTACCTTACTCTGACCTCTCCAAATACATTCTCCTTTTTCAAGAGCTCAACTACTTTGGGGGATTGGACTGGAATCTTTTCAGTCATCAGTTCCTCAACCTTTTTTGGGATAGCAATATGCTGCTGTGCTTCTGACGGAGACACTTTTTCGATTGTTTCCTTGACTGGTTTATTTTCTGTAGTTTGCCAATCCATCTTTTCTTCTTGATTAGCAGTAGTGGAGACTTCATTTTTCCAAGGCATCTTTTCTGCTTTGGGAGCAGTAGTGAAGACGCTGTCTTTCTTGGCAGGTGTGGCGTTAGTCTGCTCTACTGGTTGTGAGTTTGGGTTCCCAGTATTGCTACTGACAGCTTGTCTTTCTTTGGCTTCTTTGCCTTTCTTACTCTTCCACTTTATTGCAGTACTAGCAATGCCCCAAACATTTGGAATGGGGTCAGTCTCTTCCAATGAGCTATATATAGGAACATCCATTTTATCTTTGGGACAATGCTCCTCTCTTTGACGATGATACTCAGCATTTTTGATTCCTGGAGATATTGGGGGAGACTCTGAATTACTCTCGATGTCACGAACCCTTTCCATGACTCTTTGACAATGATACTCAGCAGGTTCAGACTTCTCCATTTGTGTTTCAGGCTTGACTAGTAAGGTTGACCGTTCCTTTGTGCGCAAATCATATTCACGTTCATGGCTATGATCACGAGGATGTAAAGTTCTAACTGGCATATCTTTACACATGTTTTTCAACAGGTCAGCAACATTGTGTGTTTCATCTTCAGATTCCTCATCTGAAAAAGTATTTGTCCTCTGTATATTCTCGTCAGAATCATAATCACTCCAAGATATACCAGGGCTATTAATAGTAGTACTCTTAGCATCTCTGTTGAAGATTTCACTATAAGCTGCTACATCATCAGAATCAGAGTCACTCAGATCAATGTGCTCATTAAGACTGACATATGAATCATCTCCATGTTTCTCAACAGCAATTTTGGGCAAAGTCCCTGCCATTGCCCCCTTTGGTGGTACCCCATCATCATGTTCCACTATGCAACCAGAAAATGCATCCATCCTTGGACTGACATAACTTGCATTAGGATTCCGATATTCTGGATTTTGTGGGTCCAAATGAATTGTTTCAATCTCTAATAGTTCATCTTCGAATTCACAACGTTCATCATTCTTGTTTTCTTCGTCATCAGATAAAATTACGAACTGAAGTCTACTGTTTTCTAATGGATTCTGATTGCACTTTTCTTGCAAATCAGCTGCATCTAAAAATAAGAAATAAATTCACAAACATAGTTTGTCATTTCATATGTTGGGTTTAGTTAAAGGATATTACAATGGTTACCATTTCTGCATAAATAGTACTCTTAAAAAGGTCCTTCGCAACTCATACTTTTGCCTCTTGAAAGGAGTCTTAGTCATTAAGAATAGTGAAGATTACACTCAATCCTTTAATGAACTCCCGCCTTGAATGTGGAGAATCATTTAGGATATAGCATGCATACCTTTTATTTCTTCTTGAAAGATTATGATAGCTGTGCCATCAGATTTGATTTTAACTTCAAACTCATTATCATCATCTTCTCCAAATAAATCTTCCAAGTACAGCTCAAGGCAGTCCTCTGATGTCTCCTTGTGTAGACCCTGTGTGACATAATCACAAAGAAGCAATGATTGCTATTGCCTACCCCAGTATGTAGTGTAATCGATTGATTATTAATTCCCTAATAATAATCACAATACATCAATGATTGTTTAGGTCCTATGTCGTACACTCACAACATAGAGGTGATTTTAAAGGCTCTGTGTAGCATTAAATAATTATCTAGTTCATAGAAAAAGCCTTAAATTTTCACTATCTGATATGTAAAGTAAAAAGTACCTTTATAGCAATTTTGTTAGTGCCCATTGTTATCAAATGATAAATGTGGCCAATCCAAGGTTATCTACCTGAAAATAAAGCATCAAGAAATAGGGCTTTGTCTAGGCGTGAATCACTTGACTTTTATTAATCTTTTATATTATCTAGTTTTCATATGACTTCAGACATATAAATCAGAATTACATAAACAAATATGCTATGATTAAAAGATTATCCTTTTGTTTTTGTTTCCTGATGTACAATAAAAACATTAAACAAAAGAACACTAAACAATCCAATATGGAAATATCAAGGGCGAGATGGAAATGCTGAGGGGGAGTAGTCAATGTAATAATTTAACAGTGCAGATGTTAAGAGAGAAGTCAATGTAATAATCCATGATGGAAATGTCGAGAATGAAGTCAATGTAATAATCCAACATGGAAATGTCGAGAATGAAGTCAATGTAATAAACCAAGATGGAGATGTTAAGGGGGGAAATCAGTGTAATAATCCGAGATGGAAGGGTTGAGAGGGGGGGGGGGGTGAGAAAATGTAAAAATCCAAGATGGAAATGTTCATGGGGAAGTCAATAAAATAATCCAAGATGGAAATGTTGAGGGGGAAGTCAATGTAATAATCCAAGATGGAAGGGTTGAGAGGGGGGGGGGTGAGAAAATGTAAAAATCCAAGATGGAAATGTTCATTGGGAAGTCAATCTAATAATCCAAAATGGAAATGTTGAGGGGGAAGTCAAGGCTTTTCTTAATTCTTCATCCTAAAGGGAATCCAATTGGATTGAAATGTTGAGGGGAAAGTAAAACACACATCGGCCCATTGAACTATTGTCCTTTGTAGTTGCATTATGAGCCACTCTTCCAACGTAATGCACCCTCCCGCTACCTCCCATCATCAACACTTTCCATTGGGTCTATTAGAAAGTTTTATTGATAGGAGCATATCCCCGGGAGTCTAAATGTATCTGTCTACAAATAATAGCAGAACTTTAAAATTCTAGCCTCAGACTGGCTAAAAAGGCCGATGACCTACCCCCCCCCCCCCCCCCCGCCCACACACTCACTCTGAATCTCAGTCTTGGTGTCTTTGCTCCGGGGTAATAAGAGTGTCAGGCTTCCCTGTAAGTAAGTAAATCTCACAGGTGCTCCCCGGAGTGTTATGCTTCCCTGTAAGTAAGTAAGTAAGTAAATCGTATTACCCAGGGAGCCCCTGTGTTTGTGTCACCTTAGTAATTCCTAACATAAAAATTATGATGGTCTGAGACTCTCAGGTAGGCCTAATGTAGTGTTGACAATGTATAGAACTACATACTCACCATTCAACTCAATATCGGTATACCGTCACTCTTCTTGAGATAAAGCTGTAATATTCACCATCAAAGATGACTCCATTCGTCAACAATGTTTTAACAGAGCAACTGCTTCTCGGACGTACGAGTACTTTCATTTTCAAGTAACTTGGACTTCCCAGAACTCAGATATCACGTGAGAGTCACATGACTAGGCCTAGTCACATGATATGACATCTTCCGGCTGTTAACTTCCGTAATAGGAAAGATTCAGATTTACTCGAATTTGCAGTGTTTTGTACTATGTTTACTCAACAGAAACATAATCAGGTATGTAGTTTAAGGCTATTACATGTTATCTGTGTTCAGGAACAATTCTTATTCCCATTCAATCTAGGCCTAGAATCCTGAACCAGTGATTTCTCAAATCTGACTCAGAATTTCTTGACCGATGCTTCACTGCCAGAGTCTGTCAGTCAGTCGGTGTCACAATCACATTCCTAGGCATATTAATTTTGAATCGCACTGTAACTCCCCGATGGTCAAAGTTATTAGGGCCGGGGCACGCCCCCCTCCCCCACAGGAATTCGTGTAGAGTCCATTTCACTGCTTCATTTCGTCAGTAGAATGGCAAAAATAAGAAATTGGGAGACCGTTGTGCAATACTATATGGAAAAGTATATTCATAATGTACATAAATGACATTTGTATATTTCTGATTTTTTAGTTTTTTGTGCAATAAGCCTGTGCCGTCTTGTAATTTGAAGAATTTCAGCCATGTTAATCTTATTGAAAATAACATGGCAGAGAAACATCCAAATATTAGAGGCCACACACTTTATAAGCCAAACTAGAAGCAATCCAAGATATACAAATGTCATTCATGTACATTATGAATATACTTTTCCATATATTATTGCACAATGATCTCCCAATTTCTTATTTTTGCCGTTCTACTGACGAAATGAAGCAGTGAAATGGACTCTAGAAGGAAAAATACATGTAAGTCAATAGATCTAGAGCAAGCCTTGACTCAATAAGCATATAAAAGTACCCCCCCCCCCCCCTCGATGACTGATTTTATAAGCTAGAATCGCTTCTCTAAAATTCATCAAAGAATCTCCGCTTTTGTCTTCAGAATATTATCCTTAAGTTTTTAAATAGTATTACCTTATCTAGACTACCCGCTTATTAATTATAGTTCTAACTCATTCTGGTCTTAGGAGCATTCAACGTTCAAGTCTTGGGAACCTCATGTAATCTTTCAAAACTAATGGCGTAAGCTTTGCACATATTCTTTTCTTACATGAATCAGTGCTTAACACTAGCTTAAATATTCTTTTAAATCCAAAAAAGTAGCCGCTGTCTTAAACGAACATTAGGCTTCAGAACCGATAAAATGGTTCAAATTTTTTTACTGGCTTTAGATTTAATTTCATGGTTAAAACCTTCTCTGGTGATTCTAATTTTGTATTATGCAAGCGGCATGAAGGTTGATGTTTTAACCTTTAAAAGCAATGTTTTAGAAGGATTTTAACGGGAAGTAAATGGTGATAATGTTCTTTTTATGGAACAGGGAAGTCAAAATATTATTAACCCTTTCCTGTCGTGAATATAAGAGGAAAATATGGGACTGGTGACGGATAAGTAAGAGCAGTTTTTAGGGAAAAACTGTAAATTTCCTATATCCCAGGGCGTATGCTTCAAATTGAATCACCTAAATACATTTTTTAAAAAGGACTATCACATTTTAACAACTTGTCAAAATTTGGTGTAAAAATACTGAATATAACTGGAGATATTGTCATTTCATTGATGCATAGAAATAAAAATAATGGTGCCAAAAGGAGCCCATCGTCCTGAAAGGTATTATATAATAGGGCTCCATATGGAGCCTATCGTCGTGAAAGGGTTAATAGAAATCATAGTAAGCATTTGAAGATCATTTAGAAGCATTTAAAATCGAATCCAAGGCAAAATTTGAAATATGGTAATCAAAATATTTGCACACAGCCCTCAGAAAACAAACGTCTGGTTTTATAATCAATGATTTTAAATATTATTATATTTTACCTCCAACAGCCTAAATTTACCTCATTTATTCCTTTCTGCTCAGCCTAATTTTTGATCTGGGCAATACCCTTGCCGTTGCAAAATTGTAGTACATTTAGTAATTTACTATCAATTAAGTTAACTACTTTAGTTTGTTCAAGACTTCATTGGATGGAAGAGTTAATTATTTCTTTTCAGAATCATTTTGTCACAAGATGAGACCATATTGATCCTGCATACAATCCAGTCTTCAACAGGGTTAGGTTGCCATAGTAACCAGGTGAACCTGAGTGTGGAGATTCAATACCTAATTGCAAAATGGTTTGGGGGAGAAGTTTGTACGGGTTCCCCCTGGCAATTCCCATCATTCTCTGCTTGACGTTCATTGTTACGTAAGTATATTGAGTCTGATTCATCATGATAGCTGAAAGTGATATCAAAAATCAAAATAGCAATTCAAAAAAGCGTTTAACATCATTAATTATGTAAAAGAGACACATGGATGTTGCGTAAAAATAAATGTGCATGTTCTTGAAAATGATAAGTCAATCAGTTTCATTTCATGAAATTGACCAAATTAATTGTATTTGAGTTTTTTGCCCAGATTTTTAGATTTAAGGTCTTTAGCACAATTAAACCTTGTTCAATGTTATTTCATTCTACTAAATTCCATTTGCCTTAACCAAATAATCAAGATTTTATTGCGATTTTGCAAAACATGCTCTAAATATATGCCATATATTTCCAGGTATGTCGTATCAGTTCAACTCGGCCATGTTAACCCAAGCTTTCCTTTCATCAGGTAAGTTTTTAAAAAAGTCTTACTAACAATACCCTGCACGCGTGCAGAGTCAAGTTATAAACTACCATGGGTGTAGCGCCCGGTACGCTGGGTACGCAAAGGCAGCATACCAGATGGTTCCAAATTTGCTCCAAATTTCAACATTTTTTCCAAATTTTCCTTGGGGGAGTACCCCACAGACCCCCTGAACACTTTTTTGCTTCTCTCAACTCCCGTCGTGGTGTACTACTTAGAAAAATACCACTGTGCCCATGACTACCCTCTGCCTAGTATAGACTATATTACAGTTTAGCACCCAAACCCGCATGACCGATGCCTGTGACAGCTTGGGTCATAAATCACTTCACACCTACCGCACTGACCTATTCTCAGCCAATTAGCGAGCTGGAAGGAACAAGTGCTAAAGTAAGTCCTTATTTCGACGACGAACTCTGATTGGCGCGGGTAATTTAGAGATTTATTGAAAACTGAAAGAATGAAGACGAAGCTCTCTTTTGAGAAGCAAAGTCGAATGAATGCAAAGGGTATACTTACAAGTACATGTAAATTAATTTGATGCCAATATTTTTAGTGACTTTTTATTATATATACTGGTAGAATTTTTATATGAACACCACAAGTTGTGACATGTATTGTTATGGTCTCCAACTTTTTTGTGGACAGTGTTTGGCATTCAACAGTCGTTGTTTGGCAGTTTGTGTTCAGTGATCAGCATTCAACATTTGTAACAATTGGCAGGTAGTGCCATTTTGCATGTTAACGCCTTGTTGACATTTGGCATCTCAATAATATGGTGTAAGTAGATCCAGGGTGATCTGGATCTGTAAAAAATAAATTGATATAAATAATAATTAGAGGTTATGTCACTATCGTGGCATATATGCCCGAGGTCTCAGTGATATATGGCCCGACCTTGGGAGGGACATTGATCTCTGAGAACCGAGGGCATATGTGCCACGATAGTGACATAAACGATTTATAACACACCTATGATGATGTAGACTAGCCAGAGAGTACCGTTTTCTTATAGAATTGACAAACAAATGGTTTGAAAATGATTGAAATGAGTTTAGAAAAATTGCTCGCGCAGTTTTATCTTCGATTGATTGGTTATGACGTCAGTGCCTTGACCAATCAGAAAGTTAGCGGGCGCGGGCTTTTCAAAACTTATATTGGCCCGCTGTCTTGTGTACACTTTGCACTATACATCGTCATAGGTATGTTATAAATAATGATAATGATCTATAAAACAAACCAAATGTAAATAAGCCATTTATAAATGAATAATATGAAAATCAATCAAAGTTAGTTGAACACTAAGTCAGTTGGTCCTGCGACATTGAAGTGTTTCACATAGGAGGTGTTCTTCTTATAGATGTTCATTTAACATTAAATCAGTTGGTCTTTGGATTCTGAAAAGTGTTCCGCTAACAGAAGTGTTCCATCTTCTAGAGGTGTTCTACATTACATGTTTCACTGTAATTCTTCTTCAGTGACACAGGAAGTCGGCCACCAGAGAGCTGTATATTTGGCCAGATGCTTAATATAGCTGCGGTGTTAGGTAAGTGAAATAGGTTCCAGGCCCGTAGCCAGGATTTGCCAAGGGGGGTTCATTTTTCAAAAATTTCCAGGGGGATCACATTTGACAATTTTGGCTAAAATCACTTGAGAAGTGGTCAAAATGGTGAAAAACTGCATGTTTTTGAAGGAATTTTTGCCCCCCCCCCGCTACGGGCCTGGGTTCAGAATAGAATACATGTAGGTGGAACTTGTATCATTCAGATTGTACCATTTAGTAAAGAGTAGCCTAAAATCAATAATTTAAAACCTTAACCATTCTGAAGTCAGAAAAGTTTCAATTTATTCTTAGATTACATGTAGTTTTTTATGCAGTTTGATTTTTGACTTACTCAAAAAGTATCCCCACTTGCAAAATCTTGTAAAATTCTAGATTTAGAAATGAGATATTTTTTCATATTTTTCAATTAATAAGATTGTAAGCGTTGAAATGTTTTGAAATATTACGAATAAGAAAATAAAAATTCTTACAATTTCATCTTAACAATTCTCTATTTTCAATTTATGTCTTTGTATTCCATACATTATGCCACATTAATATTGTTTATTTACTTGTAGTTGCTATAGTGATGTATATACGCTACAGACAAGTACTACAATACAGTAGTCAAGAGACCGGAATAGTCCTCAAACTAAATACAGTCTCATTGTATTTAGGATTCATAGCAGCATTTGGCCTTAGTGTTGTAGGAAACTTTCAAGTAAGTTTACAATGATACCATGAGGCCATTAAAAGTTAATAGTCACGCAGGTCCAACTATGCAGTTTGCAAAAACGTTAATATGAATTTTAGACCAACCAGATGTTTGAAAATCAAGGATTGTGGGCCTCATACTGCAAAGTTTTTCTTCAAACTTGTTCCATTAAAAGCAAAACAAAAATGCCTATCTGTTGGTACATTATTCTGTTATACAGAGTCCCTACTTTTAGCCTCATAGCTTCTTACAGCTGGGAACCCAAATGCCGAAATGTTGCCTCAATCATAGAAGGGGATGTTTAACATTTATCAAACTTTAAATGGCCTAAGACATTAAAAACAGCTAAATTTGAAATATTTGATACTAACCTTAATATAATGAAAGATAAATGGGTAAAATCAAATGAAATAAAAATATGGTGTCCATGTATTAATATCGATATAACTGGTTATTTGATTAAGAAAAAACTGTACAACTAAATTAACAGCACAGCATTTTTTGAATAAATGAAATAATATTTTTCAGGAAAGCAATGCCCTCGTTGTTCATCTGATTGGTGCTTTGCTAGCATTTGGTTTAGGAACCGTGTATTGCTGTCTGCAGACTATCATGTCCTTCAAGATGCATCCTCACATGAACTCTCGGGTCTTAAGTTATATACGACTGATATTCAGTCTTATAGCAGTTCTAGCTTTTATATTCAGTATCCTTTTTATCAGAAATATATTAACATTCACATTTCATACCACGTTCAAGCCCGTAGCCAGTTTATCTACCAAGGCGATACACTTCCTTGGGGTTCGCATTTGACAAGTTTGGTCTAAAATCACTTAGTAAGTGCTCAGAATCCTGATAAACTGCATGATTTTGGAAACAATATTTGACCAGGAGGGGGAGGGGAAGGGTTGTTCAAGCCTCATGAATCCTCCTGGCTACAGGCGTGACATCTGCAATGAGAATTTTGGTACATTACAAGAGATAAATCAAATGTTATTTCAAATTCCACCTGTTTCCACCTGAGTAAATGATTAGAATTCCATGATCTCAATAGTATTTAAATTCACCAGTTATCCATCATTAATTTGAAACATCGGATATAATCCTATGCCAAGGGCTGATGTGAAAAAATGCAGTCCTCCTTAATGGGGAATTGAACCCACAACCTCCCTATTACATGTTAAGTACCATTATTTGAGCTACAGGACTTTACAGGTTGAAATTTTAATATCTTCAATGCTACACATATTTTCAACTTTAATATTGTGCCATGTCAAAACAAAGAACAAATTATGAATAATTTCTTTCCTTCTTTCTTAAAGTGAACAGTTAGGGTTGGTTGTCTCAAATATTAACATTCCAGGAATTTCCCTGATAAATCATAAATAAATTATATTCAATATTGAGCATGAAAAACTAGTTCAAAAACCATTCTTTAAATGAATCAGTAAAGTTTCTTAACACTGCAGTGTTTGCTGTTATACCACTTGCATTCCAAAAAGGAGAGAGTAAGGATAATCTAATGCCTGTGAGTCATTGAGAATTTTGTGTCGTTGGATGTCTGCTTGACTTGCCTGATAATTCAGCTGTTGATTTTGTAAAATGGTGCTTTTATTAATCAGGGGGTCATTAACAGGAACTTCATAAAGTTACGAATTGGTAAATCAATTGTTGTTACCATGGATATGATGACGTCACAGTCAGAAAACAATGGACTTTACAAACTACTTAACTTCATGAAGTTTCTGTTAATGGCCCCCAGCTTATTTTCACATCTTGTTTTCACTCACATAATGGGTCTGCTTTTAATGTCACCACCAGAAGTGTCAACATTTTGTAACTTTTTTGTGGCCATTGTTTGGCATTTTTTCCTTGCTAGTATGTTCCAGTTTACCCTTTGCATTCGTTTGACTTCACTTCTTAAAAGAGAGCTTCGTCTTCACTCTTTCAAACTAAAATAAACATGTGAACTCACCGCGCCAATCAGTGTTCGTCGGCCAAATTTGACCGACGTTCTATATATGGTCATTCCTTCTGACATGATCGTTGAGCCCGGATTTGACCAATGACATGCGCATATCTAATTAGCACGCATTTGGCGTATGTTTCTTCAAGCTTGCTAATTGGTGGAAGAAAGGTCAGCGCGTAGGTCAGAAGTGATTTATTACCCAAACTGTCACCGGTACCCGTCGTGGGGGCGGGGCTACTAAACTGTAACATGGTCTCTACTAGGCAGAGTGTAGTTTAACTAGACTCTGCGCGCAGGGTAGTTCCAGTTTAATACATTAAAATATACAGTTCATTGACTGCCAAAGTTAAAAACATTGGTAACAGTTTGGCATTTGGTGTATGGCATTCTGCATCTATAAAAGTGTTTGGTGGCTGGTGTCTGTAACAAATAACAGGTGGTGACATTTTGCTTGTTAATGCCTTGTTTTTGGTTACATTTCTTTGCTTGTTGGCTTTCAGGTTTTTACACTGCTTTGATTGTAAATGCTTTTGGTAGATTAACTTTTGGTGTTTCGTTCTTTAACGCAGATTTGTTTTTCATTTGATATTTGCATTGCTTTTATAGAATTTAATATTTTAGCTTTAGGAATATTGATGTAACACTAACGACTGGTCTATAAGCTAACTACTTTTATACTAACCTTAACTGGTACAAGTGGCCATATTTATCTTAGTAGCTAATGTTCCTGATGCCCTGGTGCCTGTAAGTGTTCAATATTTATATTACGGGTCTTGCATTCAATCCCTGGCCCACCCTCACCCCCTTCCTCTATCTATCTATGGCTCATATGGAATGCCTACTCTTCCATTTGTCCGTCATATATCTATCCAGACCTTTCAGGCAACAACACTAGATAAATATATGGGGTGTACAGGTAAACCTATCTTTTAGTGAACACCTCTCCAGTGAAACCTGTCTTAGTGAACACCTCTCTAGTAAAACCTGTCTTAGTGAACACCTCTCCAGTAAAACCTGTCTTAGTGAACACCTCTCCAGTGAAACCTGTCTTAGTGAACACCACTCCAGTGAAACCTGTCTTAGTGAACACCACTCTAGTAAAACCTGTCTTAGTGAACACCTCTCCAGTAAAACCTGTCCTAGTGAACACCTCTCCAGTAAAACCTGTCTTAGTGAACACCTCTCCAGTGAAACCTGTCTTAGTGAACACCACTCCAGTGAAACCTGTGTCGAATGGACCTCCCCCTTTAGGCACATACTCCACTGACTTTAGTGAACACCTGTATCCATTGAACACCCCTTCTCAGCACATACTCCTCTGACTTCTGTATAAAATTGCCTCTCTGTAGTGAACACTTTTTTGAACACAGATGTTCGCTGTACACAGGTTTTACTGTACATTGAATGTTGCCCTATTATTATCAAGAGTAAGATAAATGAGAGGGCCAGATGCAGTATCAAATGTACAGTATCAAATATGATAATGTCTCTCAGGGCTAATTGGTTTTAACTTTTAATACTTCGGAAGTTCTTCATAAATGAAATACAAGTCTCTGTAACTTGATGTACAATACATTTGGCACTAGTGTCAGTTTTACATTTATCTGAATTACCACCAGAATTGATTTTCAAGAAATATCATGTTAATTGAATAAGCATTGAATAAGTCATATTTCTGTTCTCGAAATTTTTGCCAAATTTCTCACAAATTATTGTAATAAATCGCACAAAATAATGATATTGATATGCTGATCATGTCCTTTAAACGTCCTATATTCAGAGACTGACAAACTCATGTTAAATGTAATTTACTCTTTTTGTTTGTAGAATTAAATGCAGAATTTACCATTGTGCTCAAATTGTGACTTCTTCAATGCAAAATTCATGTAGAAACTGGGAAGCATTTTTTTTATTAAGATAAATTTATTTCATTACAAGATATTACATTATACATGGGAAGCATGATAATTGCCTTTTTGGTTTAGTTGAAGGCAGGCCATGTTTAATGACTAACTCCAAGTTAATGCATGAACTTTTTCCACGTGGTCTTCAAAAGTCATCCCATTTTGCCTAACCTTAAGCTTTTTGTGTGCCTTCTTGTGTTCAGTAATGCACTGTAAAATGTTCATATATCTCTCAGTCTGATTGAAAGGAAAATATTTTTGAGTAACCTAATGTTTAGTATTCAAGTATAACACAGTAGAGTAATTGTTCCTAAAAATATTAAAGTAATTTATTTCTATCATATAAATGAATGTCTTTCTTGATTGATGAATGAGATTTCAAATATTTCTCTTCCAGAGGGGTACGGCACGTAATATCAGCGTCACTTCAGAATGGCTCCTAGCAGCGGCAGTTATGTGCTTCTTTTTCACATTCGTTGGTGAATTCCGTAAAATACGTCTTTCTGCGCCAGAGATGAGTCTGAGGATGGAAAGTTTAGCTATAGTGGACTATCAACAAAATCAGGTGGACGATGATGTTCCCATAATAGTCACCTAGCCCCCCCCCCCCACTATACCCTTCTGTTGACCCATACTGTTAGATATTCATATTGAGGCCACCTGAGGACAGGCTGGGTAATAACGACCTTCTTGTTAAGATGTATTTTTGAATCAGTTATCATGATATTTTTCTATAGTTCACATACTACATGTAATTTGATTGACTGGCCAAAATCTAAACTAACAAGTGCAGGGCCTCTGAACCCTTGCTCTGGTGTAACATCTTGTTTGATGGTTAAATGATGGTTTTCCTCATGTGCCATTTGAAGACCATGTAATGATTCAGCAATCAAGTGGCGATATCAACATTTCCATATACGGGCAGAGGCCTAAGCCAGCTTTTGCAAAAGTGGGTTCAAAATCATGTTGAAAAGTCTCAGAATGGTAAAAAACTGCATAATTTTAAAATAATATTTGGCCATTCCCCCTCCCCACTTTTTGTGAACTTAATTAAGGTTTATAGTCAAGTATACTGTATGTTTAAGTTTAAGAAGTAAGTCTCTCTCCATCACTCCCTTTTCAATCGCTCTTTACACAACTTCATTACGATGAATATGTACACGTACACATTATTATGGAATTGACATTGTAATTTTGAAACACTCTGTATGGTTAAAAAGAGGGAAGAATGTTGAATGATTTGATTTGTTAAAAATATTCATTAAAAAATTGCTAGACATTCGGGAGTCGTTGAAGACAGCCTCCATCAAATATATGCCACAGATTCTTTTTGCATATCGAAGCATTTAGACATCATGCATTTTCAATTCAGTATAAAAAGGTGGACACTGTCCGTGGGTGTAAAGCTTAGGTGAGAACCATGACATAAATATGCATTTAATTAATGTATCAACAAAAATGTCTCCAGTAAAACCATTTTACCTCAAACACCTGGAATCTGGACAAGGGGGAGAAATGTTTGACTGTGTACACAAGTAAGGCCATTCAAAGTTATGTGTTTAATGTCCTGAAAAATGGCCAGACCAGAAATTGAATTTTGAATGGCCTTGTGGAGTGGTCCACAAATCATAAAAACCATGGTGTGTGTCAACCATTTTTATTCAAAAAGGTGGTAAATACCACTGGCCTGTCGGATCCAGGGGGTCCCATGTGCCCAAAAATTCTGTAGGGTCTCAATTCGTGGGCCTTTTTGGGCATTACTTGGCCTTGTCGGGCCTTTATAATTGTCAAAAAATAATAAAAATTTGGACCTAATTTTGGGATTCATTGGCCCAAAAATTGTTAAACGCAAGCAACCTTTAGGTTCTGGATCCGCCAGTAATCGATTTTACTTTACAATGAAGTTCGAGCATCAGAAACCTTGTGAATCATGATGGGCTGTTTCACCATATTGGTGCACTATAGTTTGATTAATTAATGTCTTATTAAGGATGGTCCTGAGTTTGTCTTCCAGCAATATTATGAATAACGCAGCCTTACGTACAGTATGTGATATAATTGTCACAAAATGTGTGCATGCATGCACACAGCAAATTACTGTGTTATGTTTCCTTACATCAAAAGGTCTAAGAAATCATCTATTGTAAAAAGAATGTACAATTTACATGGTATTGTTTTATGATGGGGCTCACTTCTGCAGAATCTATTGAAACTCAGTGCACAAAGTTTTGCTGTTTATTACATTACTATTTTGTCTTTTAACATATACATGTATCATATATGTAAGTTCAATTGATAGCAAACATCACATGTTCATATTAGGGGTCAGCAACGTATTTTTGTACTCTTCTACTGCTAGTCATATGTTAAAGCTTTAAAGGGCAATATAAATACTAGTAGTTTTTAAATAAAGAGGGCAGGCCAATCAATTCTGGTTTATAAGATTGTACCGCTGCTGCCATCTTTATATGGGCCCAAAACCTATGGTGATAACCTTTTTAATTAAAATTGTGTGTAAAAAAGTGTTTTAAGAATTCCAAATATAGATAAAAAGTAATTTTTTTATATGTTTTTTTATTAATAAAATGAAATTGTACAGTGTGGAAATTAATAATGTTGCAAAGTGATTTTAAGTTTTGAAGAATAAGCTTTAACATGTATAGTATTCTTATCACATCTGATAAGCATATTTTATATTGTAAAATAATCGAGAAGTGAGCATGATTTTTTCAAATCAATCAAACTTCATATTAATAATTAATCTAAAGTTTTCCTGCATATAAATAAAAAATATACCTACAAATGAGATTAAATTTGAATACCGGTATGCTGCAAATATTTAGTAGACACATTCAGCTTTTTCTTCAAGTTATATTTTTAAAGTATATCTTTAGCACTTTTCTCCCTCTTCAAAACAATTTATGTAAATATATAAGGCTAAGGACAGTTAATTTTCTGGTTTTAGTTTTCATGAATAAGGAAAAAATGTCTTGGTAAATATGTAAGTCAAAGGAAAATTAATTTTATTTATATAATTTTCACTGACAATGAAGAAAAATGTCTTTGCAGTGGTTGAGAGAGAAGCATTCAGGAGCCAGTAAATTGACTTTGTCTAGTCTTATGTACAAACATAAATGGAGTTAATTGCTAAATACAGTGTTATAGTTAACATTCCCTTATATGGAATTTTATCTTGTATAGTCAGGCCCGTAAGACACTTTTCTCCAAGGGGGGTGCGGTTTTTAGCTTACTAAAGAGAATATAAAATTGTCAATTTTTTGCCGCGTAAATCAAATCGCGTAAGTCAGATGGGGGGGGGGGGGGGCTCAGTTACTCTCTATATTGGTTTGGAATTAACAAATGCAACTTCCAAACGTTCCAATTGTTTTGTGGGGGTCGTGACGAGTGGTCCACTCCCCCTAGAAAATTTTACAGTTTTGAGATGCTATTTGGTGCTTTCTGGGCACTTTCAAAGTGTAAGCTTCCAAGTAGTACGCCACCACCACGGGAATAAGAGTTGAGTGAATAAAAACCGAGCATTCAGGGGGGTCTGGGGTCCTTCCCCAGGAAAATTTTGAAATTTGGTTGTATTTGGAGCGAATTTGCAACCATCTGGTACGCCTGTGCGTTATGAGTCAATAAGAAAAATATGAATTTTTTTTCAAATTCTTTTGGGGGTGTCAAATAGGATGAGAGGGTGAAGTGGGGTGGGGGCCAGTAGGGGAGCAAGGACTATTTTCTTTTGTTTTGTGGGGGATCTGAGGTGTGGCTAACTCTCCTAGAAAATTTTACAATTTAAAGATGATATTTGGTGCTTCTGGACACTTTTAAAGTGTATTAGTCAATAAAAACATTGAAAAACAAGCACATCAAATTTTGGGGTTGTCAATGGGGGGGGGGGGGTGCCAGAGGGGGAGGTGGGGCTTGGACGCCAGAGGGGAGCAAGTGTTTGTCCACCATATCAACATTTACAATATCAAGGTGCTATTCGATGAAGTTTGGGCACTTTAAAAGTGTCTGTGCCTAAAAGTGCCTATTTCCCAAGAAAATTTTACAATTTTAAGGTGCTATTTGGTGCTTTCTGGGCACTTTCAAAGGGGGTGTTAGGGGGAGGGGGCTGCCAGAGGGGGAGGTGGAGTGGGGATGCCAGAGGGCGAGTAAGTGTTAGTCTTCCAGAATCATTAACTTTATCAAGGAGCTATTTGATGATGTCTGGGCAATTTAAAAGTGTCAATACATAAAACAAATTCAGAACTTTTCCATTGTTTTGTTTGGGGTGTGAGGGGTGGCCCACTCCCCCTAGAAGATTTTACAATTTTACGACGCTATTTGGTGCTTTCTGGGCACTTTCAAAGTGTATGAGTCAATTAAAGAATTTAAGAAAATCACAATTTTTTGGGGGGAGGGGGTCAAGGGGGGGGGGGGGGCGCCAGAGGGGGGGGGGGTTATGCAAGTGCAAGATGCAAGAGGGGGAGCAAGTCCCCCAGAAACACTTACTATATCAAGGAGCTATTTGATGATGTCTGGGCACTTTGAAAGTGTCTGAGACAAAACACTAAAATAAATTTAGAACTTTTCCATTGTTTTGTGGGGGGTGTGAGGGTGTGTGAGTCAATGAAAAAAATTACAAAAAAAAATTTTTTTTCAAATTTATTTTGGGGGGTGACAAAGGGGGGTGCGGTCGCACCCATCGCACCCCCCCCCCCCCCCATCTGACGGCCCTGATAGTGTTATTGTTAGAAATATTCCCTTTTATTATATACCCAATATGTAACACTAATCCTGATTGGTCAATACCTAGTCACGTGTTCCGAAATAGATTTACTATTTCCCTCGGAAAGTTATATTCCCTCAAATGTGACGTCAGCGGGAATATACATTTGAACTATTGCCCGCTGACGTCACAATTGCAAGTTCTATTACCCTTGGAAACATCTGACGAAAAACAGAAAAATGGAGGATGAGCACAAACACAAATCAACTCCGTTCACCATGACAGACGTGCGTGAACGATACAATATAAGCAACGTGAATAAAGTTCCCTAAGCTCAATACATCTGTGCACGGACACATTTATAGGAATTAAACATATATTAAAGTCCGTGGTCTGTGTAATTTCAAGTGTTATGATAATCTATTCCGCGTGTTAAACGCGATTGAATTTGTCAAGTGAGAGTCTCACAGGGCAAACATTTCTGTTGAGCATCGGATGACGTCACAGCTTATAATGCTAACAATGGACCCGGGGAGGGGGCTTTCTAAGCCTTTTTGGCCTTCGCAGAGGAAACGGGACAAGAGTCAGTATAGGGTATATAATAAAACAAATAGTGACTGCCTAATTTCGAGCAATAGTGTAAATGATTTCCCCGAGGGAATATCCTCTACAATGTACTATTCCCGAAGCCGCAGGCCTCAATGGCAGTCACTATTTGTATATTATTCCATACTTAGTAGTGTTATAGGTAATTAACATGCTAGAATATAATTGATATGTGACGTGAGCGGGTGATAATATATATCACCTGCTCATCAGATCTACAGTGCCAATAATTTAGAGATTAGAGT